ATGCTGCTCCAGGTAAATGGTGTCATTTTTTCTTTTTAAATCTTACAAAGTAGCTATTTTACTAACAATTGTGCTGATAATATCTTATGATGTTTGAATGGTAGAGTACGGTATGGGAAGTGAGGTGTCAACAAATGGAGATGTCTACAGCTTTGGTATTCTTCTGTTAGAGATGTTCGCAGGAAAGCGACCCACTGACGACATGTTTGATGGGGACGTAAACCTTCATACTTATGTTAAAATGGCTTTCCCTAATCGAGTTATGGAGATTGTAGATTCAACACTTTTTGAAGGAGGCACCAACGAGAGAAGGATTCAAAGGATTGAGGTGTGCTTGAATTCAATATTTAGAATTGGAATTGAATGCTCTGTTGAATCTCCGACGGAGCGTCTGAAGAATATTAGTGATGTTGCATCTGAGCTGCATTCCATTAGAGACGTTCTTCTTGGATAGGAACTTTTTCTGCTACGGGTTTGTATGTGATGGGGATATTATTTTTTTATGTGCTGCCTAAAAAATATTCTTGTTGCTGCTGCTAGCCTGCTGCAGTAGATGGGAGTTCTGCTACTACTACGTCGTTTTATTTGTGTGCTTAGAAATGTGATCAAAGCTATCAAACTACTGCATCTTGTGTAAATCTCTTATCTTAAATAAATCTGAAAGTACACTTGATCCTATTCCAAATACGTTCTCTAAAGACTATAACGGCCATTTTCCTAAGCCCATGCCTTTTTTTATTTTATTTTATTTATTTTATAGAAGCCCATGCCTATTGTGAAGCAAGTTTATTCATTATTTACAAAAGGCGTGGCAGTCTTCTAAAAATAATTGCATGTTTGCAAACGGGGTTTAACTTAGCGAAAAAGTATATGTCTGAAAAATCCCCATCCACCTTATAACTTAGACTATCGATTGTATTCAAAAAGCAAGTTTATTCATTATTTACAAAGGGCGTGGCAGTCTTCTAAAAATAATTGCATGTTTGCAAACGGGATTTAACTTAGCGAAAAAGTATGTGTCTGAAAAATCCTCATCCACCTTATAACTTAGACTACCGATTGTATTCAAAAAATAAAAACAACAAAAATATAGTCGCACACTCACATGAGCTAACCCATTGTGGCAATATGAAGGTGTCTTTATTCATCTGTTTAACTAATTAGTTACTAAAAGTTGGAATTTTTTATGTTATTTTTGTTTGGTTCAACGAAAAATGTTAAGTTGATCAGTTCATATTCATTGTTGGTGAAATAATGAAGGGAACTAATAACATCTTGTAGGTAGGTGTGCTGAATTAGTTTGGCTGGTGAAGTAGGTGGTGAAGTGACGAAGGGAAGTGACAGCCAACAAAGAAATAAAACAGAAAAAGAACAGCCAAAATATCTGTGTGACAGCTCATATCCCTCACTTCCCCTCTTTACTCTCGTTGTCTCATGTGCTCTGACTCATCATATACGGTACCCTTTCTTCATATATATAGTCTTTCTTCTCCTCCTTTGCAGCCTCTCTTGATCTTACCGAATACCCGAAAGGCAGAGAGAAGACACTTCCAGCCTCTCTTGGAAAAGACGGTACTAGGGATTAAATGTTAACCAATCCGGTGTTGTCCGATTTGTCCATAAGCCAGTTCGGTTTTCGGTTTTGGAGCAGAATCTTTTATTTATTTACAAAACTCAACTAAAATATTATTTTAAGGGATTAAAAATTCACAAATGACCCAATTTCATACAAAGGGAGGTGATTGGACTTAGAAAAGATAGGTGATTTAGAGTTGGGACTTAGGAAAAGATTAGTTATGGTTTTAGAAATTTAACATTAGGATTAAATATTTTATTCAAAAATGAAAAATATACAGCTGGCCCGGTTTGGTCCAGTCCAAATTTTTCACTACAAAAATCAAAACGGACCAATTCGGTCTAGTTCAATTTTTGGTCAACTCGGTATGATTTCTATCCTTCATATCCGACCTATTAGGGTTGAAGACCCTTACCCTTGGAGAACATTGCCATCCTTACTCCTAGTTTGTTTTCTGAAATAAACTTGCGAGCGCACTACATGTGTGATCACCCTAATAAAACTAAAAATCAGGACATATATTTAGAGAGTGGTTTATTAATTATATTTTGATCTCGCTCAAGATACTTATCATTATTCTTTTCATCTTTCTTCTACAGCCTTATGTCATATCCACACATTATCATCAAATATGTATTCGTATTTTCATAAAGTCCATGGTGTAGAATTGTTATATGTATGACTTATGAGAAGAAAACAAATTGTATAACACAATTGTTTTCAAGAGATTATTGTTGGAATTTATATAGCATTTGCGTGGCAAAGGGTGAAGCACGCATTGCAGCTTCAAAGTCCAGAAGAAGTTGGCGTCAGTTGCCTTTTGGAGCAAGTGAAGTCGTCTAATTTGGAAATGCAAGCGCGATGTAGGTTCGTTCTCTGTTGTAGCTTCACGCATTTGGGACCTCGAATCTCAAAAGCTGGCAAGGTTTCCTAAGGCAGCTATGGCTACATTAAGTAATGGCTTTGGCTGCTAACTGTATATATGTTCAATTTACACATAAAGTGTGATGTTATATCTGAATTGCGTTCAAGTAAAGGCTTTGTGTACTTCTTTTTTGTTCCTTTTCCTGTTTCATATTTTATTTTCCGTCCTGAAACTTATTAATTCAAGAAATGAACTCAAAATATTCTCAGTACTCTTGTGTCCGTTTTATGAAAATTATGATGATGATATGTGGGCGCCATGTAGCCAAACTGCATTCCTATAAGTGACTTTTTGCTCTTTTCATTCTATATTGGGGTTTTAAATTGTTTTCTGATTAGAGATCGCCTAAAATTAACAAGTGATACGAAAATCAGGACATATCAGGGAGATAGAGAGAAAATTACTCATATGCTGTACTTGTTAGTACTTAGTACCGAAAAATGCTGTATTTGTTGCACCAATCTTGCAGTCGTACCAGTTAGGAAATCAGCTGAAGTTGACGTGCGAAAGCGACGGGAGAGATGGCACTTATTCGTCGTCAAATGCTGACCCGTCCCGGGGGAAATGGTACTTATTCATGGCAGTTGACATACATGTACACATGCAAGAGATTCATTTCTTTTCTGTATAGGACATTCTTGTGTACCAAAACGAATTCAGATGAGCATGAACCAATCTTGATCTAAAACTCCGATTTTCAATTAAAAAAGGCCATTCATTGTTGATGAACCGAGTACAGTGGTGAAAAAGGCAACATCTAAGATTTATAGACATTGTGTTCAATAACTACCATACTGGTAGCTCTGTTTTAGCTAAGTAATGTTTTTGGCTCTTTGGCTTTACATTGTAGTTTTTGGGTATGCTAGTGGAACCCCAAATTAAAGTATAGGTAGCCTACAGAGACCTCACCAAATCCCTTTGAACAAAATTCATACATTCACTTACTACCCATGAACGAGGAGGCTTACCTGCATACCCAACTTTCAGTTGAGAGGAAGCCGGAGCAAAGAGGCAACTCACGTCCGAGAAAACGCCAAAATTCAACTTTCTCAAGATATCAAAACAGCCTATAAACTGAAATTCAATGTCCCTGCCATAAGAAATACCCAAACCAATTTGTAAATTTAAAAACACAAAACGAAGGCTCAAATATCCAACCAAGAAACTGTGCAAAAATAAGCAAAATTAAAACATGGATTTCCTGAACTTTTTTTCTTCAACCAAAAGGAAGCCCCAACCTAAAATCAGAACCAAACAAATATGTCAAAACTTACACAGGCAGACACGAACAGCACACAAAAGGTACAATTAATTCTTACCTTGTAGATGAGAGAGCTAGGAAGCAGAGGGTGAGGAAACCCAAGCCAAACTCAACATGCAAGACAAAATTAAACAATAAACCAAATCAAACAAAGATCATATCCAAATCTCCCCAAAAAAAATCAAACCATCAGTTGGACTCATCCCAGATGCAGTGAGATCCGAGAGAGAGAGAACGAGAGCGAGGAAGAAAGTTGTAAACAGGGAGAGCTTTAGGCACGGTTTAAAGTTTTCCATGCCTTATTGAGGGGTTAATAGAACTGAGCACTTTGTTATACTTTTTAAAAAACTATATATAATATTGAGCACAAATATTTTATTGATGAGGATATTGAGCACAAATCTCTGTAAGTGTGTCCTACAGTTATTGAGCATATTAATAATTAAAAAAAGATTTAGCATTTCCACAAAAAACTAATTTAAAAAAATATATACTAAAGGCACGAAAATCAGGAATTTATTCTCTTTATACAGCACAAATTGATTTGAAATTGGAAATGATGTACATTTAAGCATTTTATATAGACTATAATATGCGTGCAAAACAAATTGTTTAGGCTAAATGTGGCCTATACATCCAGCTTCTTGGTTTATGGGACATGATGTGACTTAAAGAGACCATTTTTCGTATTCGTGTTTTATAAGCAACCTAAAGAGACACAATTGCAATATTTGTGCCCTATAAGCACCATACTTTGGAATGTGTGCAGTACAAAGGCACAAAAATTTAGTATTCCTGCTTTATATAGGTCATCAGACTTTAAAAAATAATATATATATATATATATACACACACACCATTAGACACAAAAGTTGTCTATTTGTGCTCTCTATAGATCACGAAAGTTGTGCGTAAATTAATTAAGCAAAATAATTTCCTTCTTCTATTCAAGTTGGGTACGAAACCATTGTGTTTTCTCTGCATATGACACAAAAATTACATATATGTGTCCAATGTGATTCAAAATGACATGACCCTTTTTTTGGTGGCCTTCGGATCGTGGTTTTTTTCCGAATTTTTTAGTAGTGTGGAAAGGGAAATTTTTATGTGCTGCCTGAGAAATACTCTTGTTGCAGCATCAGGTCGTTTTATTGGTGTGTTTGGGCTTGCAGCCCTAGAAATGCGATCAAAGTTATCAAGCTAGCTACTACATGTCGTTTCAATCTCTTGTCATGACCATGTTTGGACTGGAATCAAGTTCGTTTTGTCATGACCATGTTGACAATGGAATTGTGAATGGTTATTGAAAAGTATCTGCATATTGTTCTGTATATGCATGCGTGCAACAAACCTTGCAGTCCAGCCAGTTAGGAAATCAGCTGAACTTGACGTGCGTAAGCAACGGGAGAAATGGCACTTATTCATTGCTGGATGGCAACCCCACCCGGGCTCAACAGCTATGTACACAGCAAGAGATGATAGAATGTTTGATTGATATAAGTCATTCTTATATCTGTAGAGAATATTTCTTTTCTTTTTTTTTGGTGGGTAAGAGTAGTCTTGTGTATTCGCCAAGTAATGGTTATCGTTATCATTATTCTTTTCATTCTTTTATTGCTTCTGTGATCTTATTTTTACTAGCTGAAAAAGAGGGTTTGTAAATACATATAGGGATGTACTTATTGATGGCAACTTGGAGGTGAAAACAGCCAGTGCTATTTTGTGCTACTTTCTCTCTTTTCCACCTCTGGCAATTTAAAAAGACCAAAAAAAATAAAAATTACTGGACTTCAAGTTAGAACAAGCCCATGGGCTGCGGCCGAAGAATGTAGATCTACTCTAAGAAGATTGTAGATGAAAACTCAATTGCTGTAGTCCCCTTACAAGTGTTATTGTTAATGAAAAAACCGTAAAGCTTTATGCTAAAAAAAATAGGACTAGACATAATCCAATTAAACATAATCTTAATTTTTTGGTGGGATTCATAATCCTGCTACATTTACATAACACTATGTCGTAAGCCACCAAATATTTTATTAGAATCGTGAATTATACCCGTCACCAAATGGGCCTTAAAGGGCTTTTCTAGGAAGACCAGTGCGTTAGAAAAAACTGACTGGTTGGCCTGAGCTTTGTATTAACCTTCGCATTATAGCCTCGCCGTTCCATGTTTGCTTAGGTTCATAAAAATTGCGCGCGTGTTAGTTTCGCCGTCGACTCTGAGTCTCCCTCCGTAGCTCTTTAAATTGGCACTCAGCTTCTGAAGTTAACATTTTGCTTGCTATCATAGCTGAGCTTTCAAGAGATTGTTGGAGTTTATAGCATTTGCGTGGCAAAGGGTGAAGCACGCATTGCAGCTTCAAAGTCCAGAAGAAGTTGGCGTCAGTTGCCTTTTGGAAGCAAGTGAAGTCGTCTAATTTGGAGAAATGCAAGCGCGATGCAGGTTCTTTCCTACCGCATCTGTAAATTTACTTTCCACGGCTCAAGTGGAAATTACCAATTTCACAACCCAATGCCCATCTCTCTCTACAATCAATTACCCAATTCGAAAAAGGTGTTTTTGGTTGTGAAATTGATCTAAAAACTCACTTTTCAATGCAATGTTCGTTCTCTGCTGTAGCTCCATGCATTTGAGACCTCCAATCTCAAAAGCTGGCAAGGTTTTCTAAGGCAGCTATGGCTACATACAACACAACCACCTTAGTCATGAAATCCCTCCACAAATTGGGTATTTTGCATAGATTGCAGGTATTAATGGTAGACAATAACTCATGTACCATATCATATTGCTTCAACCTCAAACTTCATAATTTTGTCAATGTGGCTTTCCCTGACCGAGTTACAGAGATTGCTGTCTTAATTGCATTCCATTGGAGACATGCTTCTTGGCTAGAGTCTTTTGCTACCTGCGAAGTCTTTATGTGATTGGGAAGTTTTTATGTTCTGCATGTGAAGTCATAGATTGTTCTATAGTAGATGAAGAAATTTGTAAGTAATCACCAATGAGATACATTGTGTAAAGTAGTACTGCATCTTGTATTTGGTGTGTCTGGTCCTGGAGCCTCCATGTAATAAGAAAAAAAGAGCACATGTTATATGAATCTGTTTTCTGAAATCTTGAATACTCGATCGCATTAGGATTGGACTTGGAAATCAAGTTCATTCCATGCTTGGAAAAGCTGCACTGGTCGGTTAAACTGTTTTGTGTTTTAGGGGAATGAACACATAGTTAACAATAGCTATTATTTTCTTACTTGTGCCAAGGTTTGAAGTACCTTTCATATTAGTTGTCGATTGTTTCAGGTTTGAACAAGTTATGGTATTCCACCTATATGAAACTTAGCAGTATACTCAGTTTCTTCTCTATTTTGTAGGCTTCTTCATTCTATTGGAATCCAGAGTTCAAACATGATCAGAACTTCTTAGTAGCCACCACTGGACAATGGCAACCTTCTTCGTAGATCTGCTGCCCTGCGAAGTGCAAAGTATTATACATGTTTCTGCTGCTCTTGGACTCCATTATAAAAGTAGAGGATGTGCTGTTTATTGATGATTAACTTTGGGAAAAGAAGATGGAAAATGTGCTCTTTCTACCAAGTGACAAACTAACAGCGCAGGTGCCAGATTGTCGAAAGCTTCATGACCTTCAGTATTTCAACATTCAACTTAATCATCTTGGAAGCAGTAAAAATGGAGACTTGAGTTTTCTCTCAGGCTTAACCAATGCTACAGAGTTAAGAAAGTTTATTATAGCCGATAACAATTTAGGAGGGACGTTGCCCACATCAATATCCATTCTCTCAACCATGCTTCAAAAATTTTGGTTTCAAAGTAACCAACTAGATGGAAGCATCCCGGATGAGATAGTGAATCTGGTCAGCTTGGAATCGTTGGCGATGTGGTATAATCACTTCACAGGTAACATCTCCACTAACATTGGGAAGCTTTCAATGCTTGTAGAATTAGATATTTGCATGAATGAATTATCAGGAAGCATTCCGTCCACTCCTGGAAATTTAACCAAGTTAAGCAAACTCTTCTTGGGATATAATAATCTTCAGGGCATCATACCTGCAAGCCTAGGGGAATGCCAGTCAATGCAAGCATTGGATCTCTCAAATAATAACCTTAATGGCGTAATACCTCAACAAGTTATTGGCCTGACATCCTTAGCAATGCTTTTGAACTTGTCTTCTAACCACTTTACTGGTTCTCTTCCCATGGAGGTTGGAATGTTGAAGAATCTAGGTGAACTGGACGTTTCTGATAACATGTTATCCGGAGAACTTCCTAGGAGCCTTGGTGGTTGTGAGAGTTTAGAAGTCCTACACTTGCAAGGCAACTTCTTCAATGTTCCCATTCCTTTGTCTATGAGTTTGTTGAGGGGGATTCAAGATTCAGACCTCTCTTGCAACAATTTCTCAGCTGAAATTCCAAAGTTTTTTTAGGGCTTTCTTTTTCTGAAGAATCTGAATCTATCTTTCAATGACTTTTGGGGACCGGTACCAAATGAAGGTGTCTTCAAAAATGCAAGTGCGATTTCAATTGTTGGGAACGCTAGACTCTGCGGAAGTATTGCTAATCTCCAACTGCCTAAATGTAACTTCAGAGAGTCCAAGAAATGAGGATCCATCTCATAGCTTGAAATTAATAATCCCTTTAGAAGCTGGGCTTCCTCTTCTAGGAATAGCTATGGTGCTGTCCTATTTCTTTCTTCATTCGTCCAGAAAGGAAAAGAAGGAAATTTCATTGAACACTTTGGAGAACTCTGTTTTGCAAGTATCATATGATACTCTCCTCAAAGCTACCGATGGGTTTTCTTCAGCTAGTTTGATTGGCAGGGGTAGTTTTGGGTCAGTGTACAAAGGAGTTCTTGAGGGTGATGGTAGACCTCAAATTGTTGCCGTGAAGGTGTTTAACTTGTTACGCCAGGGAGCTTCTAAGAGTTTCATCGCTGAATGTGAGACGATGAGAAATATTAGGCATTGAAATCATGTCAAGATTATAACTGCATGTTCAAGTGTTGATTTTCATGGTAATGATTTCAAGGCTCTGGTTTACAAGTTCATGGACCATGGTAGCTTAGAGGAGTGGCTGCATCCAGTTATTGGAACCGAAGAGATAAGCTATGTGCCCAAGAATTTAACTCTTCTTCAGAGGGTAGATATTGCCATTGGTGTTGCTTGTGCACTGGATTATCTTCATAATCATTGTGGACCCATAGTTCATTGTGATATCAAACCAAGCAATTTTCTTTTGAACAACGAGTTGGTTGGACACGTTTTTGACTTTGGATTAGCAAGATTTGTGCCACAAATGACTAGTAATTCTTCATCAAATCAAACAAGTTCCATTGGAATAAGAGGTTCCTTTGGTTATGTTGCTCCAGGTTAACATCCTTTCTTCTTTTTTAGTCTTACATAACCTAAAGAGAGCTTTTCGATTTCCATTTATATAGATAATTTGTGATGCTTTTTATCGTGGAGTATGGTATGGAAAGTGAGGTTTCAACCTATGGGGATGTGTACAGCTTTGGCATTCTCTTGTTGGAGATGTTTACAGGGAAGAGACCCACTGATGAAATGTTTAGAGGCGGTTTGAACCTTCGTAATTTCGTGCAAATGTCAATCCCTGAGCGAGTTACAGAGGTTGCAGATTCAGTACTCCTTCAAGTAGGCAATGATGACGTTAGCACCAGCAACCTTCCCAATCAATACAGCGCAAGAGCTCAAAAGATCTCTGCGTGCTTCAGTTTGATATTTAGAATTGGAGTATAGTGTTCTGCTGAATCCCCAAGAGACCGAAAATATATCAGTGAAGTTGTATCTGAATTGCATTCCATTAAGGAAATACTTCTTATATGTTCAATTTACACATAAAGTGTGATGTTATATCTGAATTGCGTTTAAGTAAAGGCTTTGTGTACTTCTTTTTTGTTCCTTTTCCTGTTTCATATTTTATTTTCCGTCTTGAAACTTATTAATTCAAGAAATGAACTCAAAATATTCTCAATACTCTTTTGTCTGTTTTATTAAAATTATGATGATGATATGTGGGCGTCATGTAGCCAAACTGCATTCCTATAAGTGACTTTTTGCTCTTTTCATTCCATGATGGGAGATAGAGAGAAAATTACTCATATGCTGTACTTGTTAGTACTTAGTACCGAAAATCAGGACATTGGGAAGCTTTCAAAGCTGGTGGAATTAGATATTTCCACGAATGTATTATCAGGAAGCATTCCGTCCTCCGTAGGAAATTTAACCAAGCTATACAGACTCTTCCAGCCTGGGAGAATGCAAGCAGCTGATAATATTGGATTTGGCTAATAATAAACTTAGTGGTGCAATACCTCAACAAGTTATTGGCCTCCCATCCTTATCAAAGCTTTTGAACTTGTCCACGAACAGCTTTACAGGTTCTCTTCCCATGGAGGTTGGAAACTTGAAAAGTCTAGGTAAATTAGACGTTTCAAATAACATGTTATCCGGAGAGATTCCTACCACCCTCGGTAAATATGAGAGTTTAGAAGTCTTACACTTGCAAGGCAACTTCTTCCAGGGGCCTATTCCCTCATCTATGACTGGGTTGAAAGCTATAGAAGAATTAGACCTTTCTCGACAAAATTTCTAGAGGGTTTTGTCTTCTTGAACAAACTAGACAAATCATTCAATGAGTTTTGGGGAGCAGTACCAACTGGAGGTGCTTTTAAAAATGCAAGTGTGATTCAATAGCTGGCAACGCCAGGCTCTGCGGCGGTATTGCAGATCTCCAACTGCGCAAGTGCAAGTCCCCAAAAGGAGGATAATCTCGTAGATTGAAATTAATAATCCCTTTAGTAGTTTCAGGATTTGCTCTTCTAGGAATAGCTATGGTGATTTACTATTTCTTTCTTTGTTCGTCGAGAAAGAAAAGGAAAGAAATTCAGTTGATCACACTGGCGAATTCTGTTATGCAAGTGTCATATGCTACTCTCCTAAAAGCTACTGATGGGTTCTCTTCCGCTAATATGATTGGTGCAGGCAGTTTTGGGTCTGTGTACAGAGGAATTCTCGAAGGTGATGATAAAGCCCAGCTTGTTGCTGTGAAGGTGTTCAACTTGTTACGACATGGAGCATCGAAGAGTTTCATAGCCGAATGTGAGGCTCTAAGAAATATCAAGCATCGAAATCTTGTCAAGATTATTACTGTGTGTTCAAGTGTTGATTTTCATGGTAATGATTTCAAGGCTCTAGTTTATGAGTACATGGACAGAGGAAGCTTAGAGGAGTGGCTGCATCCTCCTATTGAAATTGAAGAGGTAAGGGAGGCACTCAATCTAGAGCAAAGACTAGACATTGCCATTGATGTTGCTTGTGCATTGGATTATCTTCATAATCATTGCGAAACACCAATAGTTCATTGTGATCTCAAGCCAAGCAATGTTCTTTTGGATAACAAGATGACTGGACATGTTTCTGACTTTGGACTCGCAAGATTTCTCTCGCAAGAAACTGGTATTAATGCTTAAAAAAATCAGACAAGTTCCATTGGATTAAGAGGAACGGTTGGTTATGCTGCTCCAGGTAAATATCTCTATGCTTCACTTTGCCCTTTATCTTACATAATTCAGCTATTCTATTCATAATTGTGCTGACAATATTTTATGATGTTTGAATGGTAGAGTATGGTATGGGAAGTGAGGTGTCAACAAATGGGGATGTCTACAACTTTGGCATTCTCTTGTTAGAGATGTTTACGGGGAAGAGGCCCACCGACAACGTGTTCAATGGAGACTTAAACCGTCACACTTATGTCAAGAGGGCTTTGCCTGAGCAAGTTATGGAGATTGCAAATCCACCACTTTTTGAAGGAAACACCAACAAAACTCAATGTGGTGCAGGAGTTAAAGAAATTGAGGTGTGCTTGAATTCATATTTAGAATTGGAATTGCATGTTCTGCTGAATCTCCAACAGACCGTCTAAGGAATATCAGTGATGCTGTTTCTGAACTGCATTCCATTAGAGACGTTCTCCTTGGATAGAAACTTTTATGTGCTGCCTGGGAAATACTCTTGCTGCTGCTGCTACTTCTATTGGTGTATTTGGGCCTGGAGCCCCGCAAATGTGATCAAAGTTATCAAACTACCGCATCAATTTTGTAGGCCTGCAATTATTGGTGTCTGTAGTCCGGTTGCTACTACTATTTCGTCGTTTTATTGGTGTGTTTGGGCCTGCAGAGGCTGAAATGTGATCAAAGTCAGCTACAACATCTTGTGTAAATCAGTTATCTTAGTCAAATGTGAAACTGTTTGGGCCACACTTGATCATGTTGCCAATCGAATTGAGAAATCCTATATTGTGTCGAGTGTGAAGTGTGAAGTCTGTTATATTGGAAAGGCTATAATGAGGGCTTAAAGTGAGGAGGTTATTTGAGGAGGTCAAATCTCACCATCAACAAATGTAAAGAAATCATGGGACTTAAATATTTTAAATGTTTTGACGGTCGAATCGGTCTCCTCAAATAACCTTCTCACTTTAACTCCTCATTGTAGAAGCTCCCCTGTTATATATCTTAGTCAAATGTGAAGTGTGAAGCTTCTAGTTTCATATTTGCCCATCTATTGTTTCTGATATGAAAAACAAGCTATGGTGAAACTAATCTATTGTTTCTGATTTAAGAATTAAAAATAATTTCTTTTAAAAAAAATATTAAAAAAACCTTGCTTCTAATGAGCGAAAGCAATTGGACATAATAGAGCTGCATTTGCTATTTTCATTCATGTTCTTTGAAATTATGATCACAAATATACATCGGCATAGTCATTCATATGAGTCAAACATGAGATCTATCCCAACCAGGTGAAGAGCTAAACTATCACATTGTAAAGATAGTTTTACTTACAAATATCCTACCGTGTGTCAACAAAAAAACAATTCCAACATTTTTTCCTTTTACAAGTCGGCTTTTGATTGCCTACCTTGTTGTGAAAATTTTTTTATAGCTAAAACCTAAATTTACTTATCTTTTTAATTAAGGGGCGAAGCCCCACACCAGCTTCCAATCCAATTGTCTGCATCATGCATATACTAATTCGTTGCAAATCAGTGAAAGCAAGTTGCTATTTTGCCATCATTAAGTCATCAAGTCATCAAGTCATCAAGTCATCCTCGGAAGCAAAGTCAACAGTCGTTGCTGTTTGGGAATCTAGTTAACTTGTTTGTTTGACAAAAAAAAAAAAAAAGTTAATTGTGTTTGGAAAAGACAGTACTTGGGATTAGTGGTGGGCACGGTCTGATTGGGTCTGATTTTAACAAAAAAATTATCTGATTTGGTGTGAGCTAGTTTGTCCATAAACTGGTTCGGTTTCCAGTTTTGGACTGGAATCTTTTTTCTTTTCTTTTTTGAATATTTTTTTTTAAATCCAACTAAAAATTTATTTTTAAGGCTTCAAAATTCACAAATGGCCCAATTTCAAAAGGAGGTGATTTGTCTCTATAAAAGAGAGGTGATTTGGAGTTGGGTTTAAGGAAAGATTAGTTATGAGTATAAAAATTTAGCATTGAAGTTAAATATTTTATTAAAAAAATTAAAAAAATACACAGTCGGCCCTTATTCGGTCTGGCCTAATTTTTTCACTACGAGAATCGAAACTGAAATCGGACCAATCAAGTTTTTGGTCAACTTGGTCTAATTTCTATCCTCATATCCGACCCATTAGGGTCAAAGACCCTTACCCTTGGGGAAAATTGACATCCCTACTCCTAATTTGTATTATGAAATGAATTTTTGAGGGCATTGGATATGTGATCGCCCTAATAAAATTGAAAATCAGGACATATATTTAGAGAGAGGTTTATTAATTATATTTTGATCTCACCCAGGATAATTATCATTACCATTATTCTTTTCATCTTTCTTCTACAGTCTTATGTCATATCCACGTTGGAGGGAATGATTTTCCCCATGAGGATATTCGGTTGCAAAGATTCCTCTCCTTCTTCGCCTCGTCTTTCTCCCTGCAAAATGGAACAAATGAGAGGGCCACACCCGGGGGGTGTTGGCCAAAGGCCCTCCGATGCCTAAATTAGTTCAATTGAATCGTATAGAAAACAATAGCTAACTAGGGTACGAAGATGTATTTATGGTGTAAACCGGGCGGCCGGAGCCTTATGTAAAAGAGAGAGAGAAAGAAGGTGGCTAGGGTTTGAGAGGAATTTTCTGCAGAGTTTCAGTAGAGATTTCAGACGTACCTCAACCCTTGTGTGTGGCTATCCTTTTATAGTGGTCTTGGATGCTAGGGTTTCAGAGAAATAATTCCGTAGATGGAAGGGAATTATTCCTCCCTTATTTGGAATTGATTTGATTAATTAGGGATTTGATTTATTAGGGTAAATCAAATCCCCAATTGTGGTAGGTATCAAATCAAATCCTAATTTAATTAGGTAACTCCTCATTTAATTGGGAATTGTGGTAGGAATCAAATCAATTCTCAACCTAATTAGGTAACGTTCCATTTAATTGGGTAATCCCCAATTAAATTGAGTAACTCCCAATTAGGTTGAATAATTCCCAATTAGGTCAAATAATCCCCAAATGGAAGGAATCATTTGACCTAAGGTCTGATTTAATTTGGTTACCACACACGTGTTATCAGATCTGTAAACATGTATTTGTATTTTCATAAAGTCCATGGTATAGAATTCTTATATGTATGACTTATGAGAAGAAAACAAATTGTATAACACAATTGTTTTCGTTTAATAACAATCCACTGAATTGAATTCAAGCAAACCAACGTATGATTGATGCCAGAAGAAATCAACCACTGGCCTTCATCAACAAGTCGGTCCAAATTAATATTTGCACATTATTGAATTTTGCTTAGGTTTATTTCTTCCACTACACGTTGGTGGAAATGTATATGAGTGAATAGTTGTTAAATTTTGTATTGTTGCTGGGGCTGTTTCCACTCAGCTTCCTTCCTACCTCTCAGGCATATATGCTTTCAAGAGATTGTAGCCTCTGAAAACTTTCTTCTACTGTTTTGAAATGGTCTTGGTCCTTGGAGTTTTCTAGCATTAATTTGTGTAATTGTTATTTTCGATGCAAGTCAACAGGGGTTGTCCATATCTTGGACTAATTAATTCATCATTCCTCCAGAAATTGGGCATTTGCGTAGATTGCACGTTTTACGTTTAGATAATAACTCAATATAACTAGTTGTTGACGCAGAAAAATGGTTCGGCACTTTCCCGCTCAACTTAGTGATTTTGTCTCTTCGGTATCTGATGTCCTCGGTAGGGTGTGCGATCTGTAAGATAGCAAACACACGGTAAGTCCTAGGGCACCGGTGTGGTACCGGCCGAAGGCTCTCCGATGCTTAAGTAAGTACGGGTTTAATAAGTTTGAACTACAGATCTATAGGCAGCATGCCGTCAGTTCTGATTGATTACCTTCAGGCTGGGATAGGTGTCCTCTTTTATAGGCCTTGGGAGGTGTGCAATTTGTTTAGAGTTTCGATGTGGGACTCTGGGCGTCAATCGTGGAGCTGCCACGTGCCAGAGTGGGCAAGGTTGCCCTAATGTTGTGATCGGTAAGTACAGTACCGAAGGTGAGTGCCGAAGGCACACGTAGCCCTGGAATAGTCCACGTGGTTGATGTTCATTGGGTGTTCATTTTGGTATAAACAGGAGTCCCCCAAGTCCCCTTGCGAGAGTCTTCGGAAGGGGATTTGAATTCGTCCTCGGGAGGAAACACGGCCTTACCGTTCGGTAACCCCACTGGGGGAGGGGCAAAACCTTGTTCCTTCCGGCATGACCAGCTCAGAGGCTGACGTTGGCGAAGTCAGAAGGTCGCGTCGATCTGATGGGCGAAGAGACGTCTGAGCGCTTCGACTTCCGCGCCTCGCGTGCCGTCAGTTCTCCATTGGGTGAGTGACACGTGGCGAAAGTAATGATGGCGCGCGGCGCATTAATGTGCCGTTTGGTTTTTCGAGGAGTACCGTTGCCAGCCACTTCCCCTATAAATAGAGATGACCCCGGAGGCGTACTCACTTTGCATCTAGTGAGAAGTGAGAGCTCTGTCTGAGGCGACTTCCGACGAGGGCTTTCGGTAGACAGGCGATTTCCGGTGAGTGTTATCGGTAGCAAGGCGATCTCCGGCGTTTCGAACGGTAGGAGAGGCGATTCCCGGTGTTGCGGACGGCAGTGAAGCATCCTGAAGAGCAAATCGTGCCTATCTTCCCAAGCACACCTTAAGGTACCGTTCGGCACCCTTCTCTTTACATGTTTTTAGGGTTACGTCCTTCCTTGGTTCGAACTAGACTGACCATAGGGTTCCATTCGGTAGTCTAGTCGCCATAGGTGGTGATGTAGGGATCGGTAGGATAGCATCCGGCATGAGCCTTAGTTTCCCATTTTTCCCTGTTTTTGTAGATGTCTGATAGCGAGTCATTCTCTGAGCGCGAGCCCAACGCGTTCGACGAGGAGTCATCGGACGGTCTCTTTGACTCCGACGGTGAAGCGGCAGGGCCTGATGCCGAGGGCGGGAGTGATACCGACGTCGAGATACTCGGCGAAGGGCCCAGCTTCATTCCAACACACGGAGTCGGGAAGGGGCTAATGACCGCTCCCGTCCCACTGTCCATTGTCTACAGTGACGGCCGCCACGTGGGCCTCGGTATGCCCGGGGAGGCGAGCGGTAGCCGTCAATCGGAGACCTCCACTTCTGGGCGTGGAGAGTCGGTAGTCAGGCCGCCATCTAGACCCAGGGTATCGGTGGTGTACCCAAGCAACCCTAGGGTGCCCATGGGGGTGCCAAAGGAAAACCTATTCGGCGTAGACTATCTTGGGCCGAACAAGATTACCGATCGGGAGATTGCCAAGCTTCGAGCAGAGTACCGCATTCCCGACTCGGTATGGATGAGGATCCCGGGCCCTACCGAATCCCTTAGCGCGCCGAAGGACGGCGAAGTAGTTTTCTTTACCGACGTCCTTGTGCAAGGCGTTCGGTTGCCGTTGCAGCCGGCGGTGCAAAGGATTCTAGCCCAGATCGGCTATGCCCCGGGGCAATTCAACCCCAACTTCTGGGTGGCTCTCATGGGAGTCATAGCGGCCTTCGGTATGGCTGGCGAAGGGAGCCCCTCTTACGAGCAGTTCACCCATCTGTACAGCGTCACCAAGTCCAAGTGTGCCGATCATGGCGGATGGGTGCAGGCGAACTGCCTCAGGGCTGCCGATCGAGGCCATTTCGTTAGCTGGGTACTGACTTCACAGAAGTCATGGAGGAATCGGCGGGTGCTCCTCTCGGGCGACTGGGAGTCGCCTTCGGGACAGCCCGTCCAATTTCGCATTCCCACAACCTTCCAAATGGCCGGTAGGACCACGTGCCGTTCGGTACCTTATCTCAGTTATGCGTTTTACCGTGAGTAACCCCTCTTTGTTCTTCTTTTTGTAGGTAAGCTGAAGCAGCCGATCGCAACGCAGGCCGAGATTCAGCAAGTGGAGAGGGTGAGGAGGAAAGTCCCTGCCGAGGAGAGGGTATATCCGCAGTTCCTCTTCACCACCAATCTGATCCGAGCCCAGCTGGTCGATCCTGCCGAGAGTAAGTATACTTGGTGTTTTACAAATTGTTTCTTCTTTTCTGTTGCGGGTCTTACCGAACCCTTTTCTCGCAGTGACGGAAGACAGGAGAGCTGCCGAGGCCAAGAGGATGAACGAGTCCTCCAAGCGCCGTCTCATGATGGGCTTCCAGGGGAAGAAGAAGAAGACCCAGCCGCAAGGCTCGGCATCGGTCGACCCTGAGGACCAGACGTTAGCCGACCGTCTGCGTGAGCTTAATGCCGAATCGGCACAGGCCGGAGCGGCAGCGGCCGGCCCTTCTCCCCGTCGAGGCGCCACTACCGAAGGGACTTCCTCCCGAGCCACCGGCAAACGGCCTTTCACTGTCGACCTGGATGCCGAACCGGCCCCAAAACGCTGACGGCAAGCTGAGCCGACTCGGGCTATTTTTGCGGCCGATAATGACGAGGAGCCTGCCGATCCCGTCACCCTGGCCTGTCCGTCGAAGGCGGTCCAGTTCGCGAACCATATGATTATCGGTTCGCAAATGGAGCTGAACGAAATCGAGGAGCTGCCGAAGAGGCTCCTTCGGGAGGAGGCGGGTCGCGCCTTCCGTCTTCAGGCATCGGTAAGTCCAGAACACTCTCCGGTGCAGGTTACCAATCACATTTGTATCTTTGCTGACATGCTCGTTGTTCTGCAGGCTTCGATGGACATGTGGCTTTGCATGAAGCGGGCCATCAATGCCTCTGAGAAGGCGAAGAAGGCCTACGAGGACGGCAGGGCCAGGGTTGCCGAGGCTGGCAAGGCTATCCAGGACCACGCGAACCTGGTGAAGGACTTACAAGCTGCCGAACGGCAGGTCAAGGTTTATGAGTCCAAGTTCGCGGATCTGTCGTCTGCCTTGGAATCGGCACAGCTGTCGGCTAAGGAGGCTCTGGAGGCGAAGGATGCCGTTGAGGTGGCTCTGGAGGAGTCGGAGCGGGCCAAAGCGTCGGAGGTTGAGGCTGCCGTCCAGGAGGCCATTCAGAAGTATCGCCACTCTACCGATTTCGCAGCCTTGCTCGACAAGGAGGTGGGCTCGGAGATGGTGGATCTCATCTACCGATTCAAGCGGTACAATCCTGGGACGAAGCTCAATTTGAACTTTATTGCCGATCCTCCTCCCCTTCCCGAAGGCGTTACGGAAGAAATGATCGAAGAATACGATGGGGAAGATGCTCCGGAAGAGCCTGAAGCTGCTGATGCCGAAGGGGCGGATGCCGAGGGCCCTTCTTCCTGATCGCTTGTCTTTATGTAATTTTGATTTCCTGTACCTTTTGTAATTTTGTACTAACTCTGATGCCGTTGGCATCTTTTGTTTTGGATAATCAATGCCGTAGGCATGTTTCAATTAAAGTTCATGTTTTCACTTTAAGATCTTTGCATCTTACTTTTGAATCGGTAGCGTATTTAGGAAATTTTTCTGTTTAATGCCGAAAGTTTTTAAACAAAGGTCACTTGCCGTTGGCCAGTGACTTTTCCTTTTACGCAGGGGGTTCCGATTGTAAAGCAATGGCAAGTAATTGCCGAAAGCCTATAACATCCAGTAAAGTTTACCAAGTTGTCTTTTAATCAGTAGGATAATGGCGATGCCAAAATGCGTAGTTAGCTGCGACCGATGGTCCCTACCGTACCCTTTTTTTTTTTGAACAAAAAATATATAGATTTGAAAAATATAACAAAGGTGCCGAATATGTGAGCCGAAGGCCCTTTTTATTGATAAACTGCCGAAGGCAAGATTACAATTATGAGCGCGTTTTACAATATAGAACCCGCCGTTGGCTTGGTAACGCTATAATGCCGGAAGCTGTGCTTGTAGAGATGCCGAAGGCTTTTGTGACTCTTCCGTGACCCTGCCGTAGGCAAGGTGACTTCATTTGAAGTAGTACTTCAAATGCTCTACGTTCCAAGGGTGACCGAGGGTCTTTCCATTGGAGTATCTGAGTCGGTAAGTCCCTGATCGCTGGATACCGATGATCTCGTAGGGTCCCTCCCAGGAAGGTCCGAGGGTTCCTTCCGTGGGATTCTTGGTTGCCAAGGAGACTTTCAGCATGACCCAATCTCCGACTCGGAAAGAGCGGGATCTGACCCTGGAGTCATAGTACCGAGAGACGCGTTGTTTGTAAGCTTCGTTCCGAAGGTTGGCTTGTGCTCGGCGCTCTTCGAGTAAGTCGAGGCTCAGAGCCAGCGCTTCCTCATTTGCATTCGGTGCGAAGGTTTCCGTTCGGTAGGAGGGCTCTCCGATCTCTACCGGGACTACTGCCTCTGAACCGAAAACCATGGAGAATGGTGTTTCCCCAGTTGCCGTTCGGTAGGATGTCCGTATGGCCCACAGCGCTTCTGGAAGCTTTTCTGGCCATGCCCCTTTGGCTTTGTCAAGCTGCCGTTTCAGCAGCTTCTTGACAATTTTGTTCATGGCTTCGACCTGTCCGTTCGATTGGGGGTGTGCTGGCGAAGCAAAGAACAGGTTGATCTTGAGTCGTTTGCAGAATTGCCTGAAGACTTCCGAATCAAACTGCCTGCCGTTGTCCGTGACGATGGCGTAGGGGATGCCGAATCGGCAGCAAATATTCGTCCAGACGAAATCCTCGATCCTGGCTGCCGTTATTGTTGCTAGGGCCTTGGCTTCTACCCATTTGGTGAAGTAGTCTACAGCAACAACAACGTATTTGACCTGACCCTTGCCCTCTGGCATCGGACCAATTAGATCCAGTCCCCATTGGGCGAACGGCCATGGGCTCACGATCGGTGACAGTGGCTCGGCAGGAATATGAGGGACACTACCGAGCCGTTGGCATTTATCACGGTAAACTGTAGTAGAGCATCTCTAAGGGAGATGTCAAATATCAAATATTAAATTTAAATTTAATGACTGATGTGGCAATTTGACATCTTACACAGTTTTACACTCCACCTGATATGTCAAATTAAATTATTATACTCAAAATAATTAGGGTTTAAAACTGATATGTTTATTCTTCTCTCAAGGAGGAATATATATACTACATACAAAGTGGTTACAAATAAGAAATATGTACAAAATCTCCTAATTCTACTCAAATTAGATAATTACAATAAAACAGAAATTCTATTCCTAATAGGAACAAATTCTATTCCAAATAGGAACGTTGACTCACGCCAACACTCCCCCTCAAGTTGGTGCATAGATATCGGTAATGCCCAACTTGTCAAGTGAGTCTTCAAATCGGTGCTTTGACACAGCATGGGTCAACATATCTGCAAGCTGCTCTGAAGAAGGCACAAAATGTATAGAAATTAACTTATGCTCTAACTTCTCCTTAATGAAATGCTGATCAACTTCTACGTGCTTAGTTCGATCATGTTGCACCGGATTGTTAGCAATTTCAAATGCGGACTGATTATCACAATGGGGCTTTGTAGCAGCATTCGGTCTAAACCCAATTTCAGCAAGTAACCACCTCAACCACAGTATTTCACAAACCCCTTGGGCAATCCCTTTATACTCAAACTTTGCGGAGGACCGAGACACAACGTTTTGCTTCTTGCTACGCCACGTAACTAGGTTACCACCAACAAAGGTGAAGTAACCTGATGTAGAACGTCTATCTGTAATATTCCCGGCATAATCTGTGTCAGTGTAACCCTCCAGATCCAAGTGATCCAAGTGACAATTTTTCTTAAATAATAAACCTCTCCCAGGAGTAGACTTTAAATAACTCAGAATACGCATCACAGCAGGCATATGATCCTCACTAGGTGAATGCATAAATTGGTTAGCAACGCTTACAACATAGGCAATATCAGGGCGTGTCAATGATAAATAAATCAATCTCCCAACTAACCTTTGATATATTTCTCCGTTAGTTGGGACCTGATCCACATAAACACCAAGTTTATGATTCTCAACAATAGGTGTATCAGCTGGTTTACAATCAAGCATTTTAGTATCTGCTAGCAGGTCCATGACATACTTCCTTTGTGAAAGAAATAAGCCATGTTTAGATCGAGTGACTTCCACTCATAGAAAATATTTCAGACTGCCCAAATCTTTCATCTCAAATTCAGATGCTAAACGTTTCTGCAGTTCCTCGATTTCTACAGTATCATCACCAGTCACAATCATATCATCAACGTAAATAATCAACAAAGTCACCTTACCAGCCCTATGTTTAATGAATAGAGTATGATCAGTATTAGCCTGTCGGTAACCAAACTTCTTCATAGCTGTGGTAAATCTGCCAAACCATGCCTGAGGAGACTGCTTTAACCCGTACATGGCCTTTTTCAATTTGCACACGTTCCCTGTTTCACCAGTAACCCTATACCCTGGTGGAAGACTCATGTACACTTCTTCTTCTAGTTCACCATGTAAGAATGTATTTTTTACTTCAAATTGCCTTAGGGTCCAATCCAAGTTTACTGCTAAGGACAACAAAACTTTGACAGTATTCATCTTAGCCACAGGTGCAAAAGTATCATGATAATCAACTCCATATTTCTGAGTGAACCCTTTAGCTACTAATCTTGCCTTGTACCTCTCCACAGTACCATCTGTATTATATTTAACTGTAAACACCCATCTGCATCCTACAGGCTTCATTCCCTTTGGTAGATCAACAATGTCCCATGTATTATTTTTTTGCAACGCCTCCATTTCAATATTCATGGCTTCAGCCCACTTTGGATCATTAAATGTCTCCTCAACACGGGTTGGAATTTTAATATTATCCATTCTTGTCCCAAATGCTTTGCACTCAGGAGATAACTTGTGATCAGACACATAATGGGCAATAGCATATCTCGCTTTGCCTTTTGGTGAGTAACGATCAGGTGGAACCCCACGGTTCCGTCTAGGCGGTAAAACATAAGAATTATCAGAAGTATGAGTAGAAGTACTTACCTTAGGAATATCCAGGGGAGCTTGATCGGGTACTATTAGAGAAGCTTCATGGGGGCAATCGATTCAGTGACAGTAGTGACATCAGTTAAAATAGCAGGTTCAGCTAGTCTAGCAGGTTCTGCCAGTGTAGCAGGTTCAGTAGGTTCGGTCGGTTCGGTCGGTTCTTCCCTTTGTATCAAACTATCCAATACTACTCCCCCTTGTAAATCTAGCCAGCTATGCCTTTCACTACTAGTCTCCCCATGAAGGACATGCTCGGGTGTATCAGAGAAGAACATTTCATCCTCAACAAAGGTAACATCCATAGAGACATATAGACGCCAGGTTGCTGGATGATAGCATCGGTAACCTTTCTGATGAGGAGAGAAACCCAGAAAGACACAACGGAGAGCACATGGGTCCAGCTTACTCCTCTGATTTTGATGGAGGTGAACATAGACGACACAACCAAACACCTTTGGAGACAGAGTCAACATAGAAGAGGCAGAGACATGATGGGTCAGTACCTGCATAGGAGTTTGGAAATCCAAAACTCGTGAAGGTAGACGATTTAAGAGATAGACTGCATAGGTAATAGCATCCATCTAGAACCGCTTTGGAACTGATGCACCAAGCAGCAGAGCACAGGCAACAGCAAGGATCTGCCCATTTTTACGTTCAGCAACCCCATTCTGTTGTGGTGTTTGAGGGCAAGTATTCTCATGGAGTACTCCCTTAGTGTGAAAAAAATGGGATAACGCCGAATTAATAAATTCTCCACCATTATCATATCGAAAAACCTTGATAGGGAGCATAAATTGAGTCTGAAACATCTGATAGAAACGCTGAAAAATTTCGACCACATCACTTTTATTTTTCATCCCAATAACCACATCATACGAGTGCAATCATCCACAAATAATAGAAACCAACGAACTCTCAAAGCTGTAGAAACCGGAGAAGGTCCCCAAACATCAGAATGAACTAAATCAAATGGCATAAGCCGTTTATTACAACTTGGAGGGTAGGATACCCGATGACTCTTAGCTAAAATACAAGTCTGACATTGGAAATCAGACTCGTTGATACCACTAAATAATGTAGGAAACAAATGCCGTAAATATCCAAATGAGGCATGACCAAATCAGTAATGTAGCAACCAAATCGGCGATGCTGAGAAGTTTCGGTGCTACCAACACGAAGAACCCGACTAGTTGCCACATCATCCACATAATAAAGCCCCCCTTTTTTAGTACCACGACCAAAAATCTCCCGAGTCTGGATATCCTATAGTAAGACAAAAGATGGATACATCAGTACAACGCAGTTTAACTGCTCAGTAACTTGCGGTACAGATAATAAATTACTAGACAAAGATGGAACCAGTAACACTTTGTCCAATGGTAAAGCAGGTGTCAAGAGTATAGAACCAGCTCCTGTGACAGGAGCAGCAACATTGTTAGCAGTCAGAACATGATCACGATGAGGCGGAAGAGTAGTAGAGAATAAAGCAGAATTATACGTCATATGGTCAGTAGCTCCTGAATCAATAATCCAACCTGTATCTTGGGTATCATGGGCATGGAAAGCCTTGCCAACGTTACCTGGAGGCGGAGATGTTGGAGTGCTTGAGATGGCGGTCAAAGTCGGAGGAGGAGTAGCAGTAAGGTGGTCGTGCCTAGTGGTGATGTCAGTCACAGAAGTGGGGGCAACAGCTACATGAGCTTTGCTGTCCAGTTGTTCCTTTTTGAAACGCCTTCGCTCCTTCTCCCAATCTGGTACCCCATGTAATGCCCAGCAGGTGTTGATAGTATGTCTCTTTTCACCACAATGATCACACTTCACTTTGTCTTTTTCTGCAGAAGTCAGGTGACAAAGCGGAACAACAGAAGAGCCAGACCCTGTACGCTGAGAAACCAAAGCAGTGTTTTTGGAAGCAAACACAACAGCAGGTTCCCCAATCTTAGTGCTGGATCCAAGCACAGTAATCTGGCGTTGAGCCTCTCGACGAACCATAAAAAATACATTTTTGATACTTGGAACTTTATCACTTCGTAGAATATCACTTCGGACCTTGTCATAAGTATCATCAAGGCTAGCCAAAAAATCATACACACGATCTGCCATAACAGCAGCCTGAAAAGTCTTCATATCATCAACACACTTCATCTGAAAAGGACGTCTCTTGTCCAATTCAAGCCAGATTGCCTTAAGTTTGGCAAAATAGGTAGATACAGGACGACCCTCTTGCTTGAGACGGGTAGCCTGGCACCGCAGTTCATAGAGCTGGGATATGTCAGAGTCATCATAAAACATCTTATTAACAGCATCCCAAATTTCCTTAGCAGTAGTTAGAGTATGAAACATATTCAACAAACTGGGTTTCATAGTTCGTAGCATCCAACTTTTCACAACAGCATCAGCAATTTTCCACTTCCCAAATTTCGGGTCTTTGGAATCAGGGGCATAAGTGTCGCTAGTCAGGTAACCCAATTTGCCTTGTGTAGTAGCATGAAGTTCGATCATCGAAGCCCATATCTCATAGTTGGATCCATTCAATTTGAATCCCATAGGTAGGTTGGTGGACGATTCGGTATGAACCGTCACAATAGGAGTAGAAGAAGAAGAGTCAGTGACATCTGACATGGTGATAGATAGCGGCGGCAGCAAAAGATTAGGTGACGACGATGACAGTAAGAGATATAAGACAGCACAGGCTTAGGTGTATAGGCTAGGTGCAGCGGAAATATGTATTTTTAGGATTAGGGTTTTGATGTTGTAGAGACAGATCAGAACCTGCTCTGATACCAACTCAAAATAATTAGGGTTTAAAAATGATATGTTTATTCTTCTCTCAAGGAGGAATATATATACTACATACAGAGTGGTTACAAATAGGAAATATGTACAAAATCTCCTAATTCTACTCAAATTAGATAATTACAATAAAACAGAAATTCTATTCCTAATAGGAACAAATTCTATTCCAAATAGGAACGTTGACCCACGCCAACAATTATTTTATTACATTTTAGTGTTGATTTATTTTTAATTAAAAAGCAAAGAAAAGAAAAGAATAAAATATTCATTTGACATCTTGCTTTTGAGATGTCAAAAATAACATCTTAACCTTCAGCCTACTATAATAATAAAATATAGTAGCATTTAATTATAGAGAGTCACTAGGAGCCCTTTATCTCTCCTCACATTTAGGAGCTCCTAGATATCTCTCTATTTTAAGAGCTGAATATGGAGCATGATTGGAGGGGAGTTTTTTCAATTCCTCCCTAAATTTTAGCTAAGGATGTGATTTAAGGAGCCCATTGTGAATGCTCTTATGTCATATCCACATGTTATCAGATCTATAAATATGTATTTGTATTTTCATAAAGTCCATGGTGTAGAATTCACTTATGAGAAGAAAACAAATTGTATAACACAATTGTTTTCGTTTATTAACAATCCACTGAATTGAATTCGAGCAAACCAATGTATGATTGATGCCAGAAGAAATTAACCACTGGCCTTCATCAACAAGTCGGTCCAAATTAATATTTGTACATTATTGAATTTTGGTTAGGTTTATTTCTTCCACCACACGGTGGTGGAAATGTATATGAGTGAATACTTGTTAAATTTTGTATTGTTGCTGGGGCTGTTTCCACTCAGCTTCCTTCCTACCTCTCAGCATATGCTTGTAGCCTCTGAAATGGTCTTGGTCCTTGGAGTTTTCTAGCATTAATTTGTGTAATTGTCATTTTCGAAGCAAGTCAACAGGGGTTGTCCATATCTTGGAATAATTAATTAATCATTCCTCCAGAAATTGGGCATTTGCGTAGATTTCACGTTTTACGTTTAGATAATAACTCAATATAACTAGTTATCACGATAAACTGTAGTAATAGAATTTGGAGTTGTGTAATACAACACATCTAGAAAAGATTGTTGACAATAAACTCTTATGTCATTTGTGCTTGTGTCATTTGTGCTTGGTTAATTTGTGTGTGTGTAAGACTCATCCATCATTGAGTTTGTCCAAAGTCCATCAACAACAAGATCTAAAGGGGAGTGAGTTAGTTCTAATTCACCACAATGGTGAATTCTACCTATCAAACTAACCATATCTATTGTTTCTGATTTAAGAATTAAAAATAATTTCTTTAATTTATTTTTATTTAAAAACTGTGCTTCTAATGAGCAAAAGCAATTGGACATAGCAGAGCTCGCTTTGCCAGTTTCATTCATGTCTCTGGAAATACATCGGTATTTATTCATGTGAGTTAAATTTGAGACCTATCCAATATTTTGAAAGGCGATACGTTAGGGCTTGTTCGCGCTAAATCTGAACAGATAAGAGTTTAGGCTAACTTACAAGTATGCTGATGGTCGAGGACCGGAGTGACCTTCTTTCGTGATGTCCGAAGGTCCGAGCGGGGGGCTGGATCCGAATGCAGGAGGGGTACCGGTGTGGTACCTGCCGAAGGTACTTCGATGCCAAAGTTAGTACTTAAGAGCAATTCTATTGATAGTGGAAAAGCTTAGTCAAGTCAGAAAGTCTTACCACTTGGCTGGGCTAAGAGGCTCTATTTATAGAGAGCATTTGTGATGCTCTTGGTACTTAGTTTCGATGTGGGACTTGTGGGAGTGTCTTCGGAGGTCGACACGTTGTTCTGACAGGTTTTGGCGGGAATTCTGAGGCGATTTGTCAGAGTCGGATTGATGTGACGGTTGGTCTCTCGGTAGAGCCTGCCGAAGGTTGGCGTTAGGGACCGATGGTGGGCAATCTAACATCCTAATCGGCAGAGCGTGCCGAGAGAACATTCGGTATGGCCCATTTGAGCTGGTCTCTGGCTTGAGGGCGTTCCACGTGTCACGGCGTGAGTGGGTGGTCAAATATGGTACAAACAGGGCTAGACGTTTTATGCCTCATGAGACAAGGCGTAAGCTTCAAAGCGTTGAAGCATAAGACGTTCGGGTATTGAATTATTATAAGAGATTTTCTATTTAAACCCCACACTTCACTTAGTTCATCTCATGTTCTATGTTTACCCCAACTTTTAATTTAAATTTTCACAATTTCTAAGAAAACCCCACTATCTTCCCAAATTACCCTAAATAAGAATAAGAAATAAAAGAGTTTAAACCCCACAATTTTCTTTGTTCACCCCAATATTTAAATCATTAAACAATATTTGTAGTATACATGAGATTATGTTTGGGGTGAAAGTTTGAAACAAAAGTATGTGCTAGGCATCAGTTTAAGGACGGTTTGAAGGCATTAGTTTGAAGCAAAAATACATGAGATTTTCTTCTTGTGGCTAGGCATTAGTTTGAAGCAAAAGTATTTTGTACTATACATGAGATTTTGTCACTACTAATCTTTCTCTTCAAGCCTTGGATATAATCTTCTACAATTGTGGAGCCTAATTGTCTAGCAGCACACGGTGCTTCAATGCATCGGATCTCAAGGATATCAAGAGTGGTGAGGAGTTTGTATTTTTCTAAAACTTAATATGAAGAGTGGTGGGGTGTGTGGGGTGTGTATAGATGTACTAGGGTTAAGTATTAACTTGGATGACCTTTTTTGTCTTTTTATACAATAATAAAACTTACAACTTAATGATTTAAGTATTGGGGTGAACAAAGAGAAATGCGGGGTTTAAATAAAAAATCTCTTATTATAATTAGAAAAATATAAAACAGCTAAATTAATGTATTAAATGCAACTCTAGAATATAAAATAACCATCAAACTTGTTTTTTCAAAACTTTTCTTATTATTGCTCAATTCTTTGCTATATATCCTTTTGGTTGTCATATTATCTCTCTAAGTCTAGTGCCTTTCTACCTAGTTCGAATAGATAAAAGAGTAGATTATGGAGGTGGATTGAACTGATGGTGAAAGGTTGGAGGCAGTTTTTGTTGGTCTGTTTAGGAACTTTGGCATTTGGGAGAGAGAAGCAATAAAGGGGTAAACTGGTTTCTTTTGAACAAATCGGTGCGTGTCTAATGTTAAAACTTAAAACTGCAAGAGTTATTCTATTTAAACTCCGCACTTCTCTTTATTCACCCCAATACTTAAATCATTAAGCTGTTAAGTTTTATTAGTGTAAAAAGACAAAAAAAAGGTAATCTAACTTAATACTTAACCCTAGTACATTTATACACACACCCCACACACCTCCACCACTCTTCATATTAAGTTTTAGAAAAATACAAACTCCTCTACATCATATTGCCAGATTACTCTTCTCTTTTAAAGACGTATAACGTTGAGGAGCCTACCTCTTTAAAAGATGAGATGGGAGCTGATGGAAAGGCTTGTTGATTGCTTGGTTGTAATGATCTTATTCTCTTCCCTTTGATTCATATATCCAACTTTTCAGTTCATATGTCAGCCCTAATAATGAAATTTAAGAGTTTAATGATTTAAGTATTAGAGTGAATAAAGAAAAGTGTGGGGTTTAAATAGAAAAACTCAAAAAAAATTATATTTTGAACTTTAAAATGCACTTATTGTCCATTGCATTTGTTTCCCATTTGATTCATACAGTTCATATGTCGGCCCCAAGGGTAAAGCTGCAATATAGTTTTCGAATAATTTTAACGTTTCCCCTTATCTTTTTTTATTTATTAAAAGTGTGGGGTTTAAATAGATTCTTTTTTTCCGGATGTGTATTTAAGGGTAGTTTGGGAAGATAGTGGGGTTTTCTTAGAAATTGTGAAATTTTGAACTAAAAGTTGGGGTGAACTTAGAACATGGGGTGAACGAAGAAAAGTGCGGAATTAAATAGAAAAACTCAAACTGAGATGCATAGCTTAACTAAAGGGAAACAAAACAACATAACCCATGCAAATGATATCGTCCGGAGTCAGATTTTTCAAAAAGGAACTTGGTCTTCCTTGCGAGGCTAGCGCTTTTAACATCACATTAGTGGCCGCCTCGGACCGCCCTCGACTTCAAGGTGTACGCCTTTCATGACATTAGTTAAATTGAGCTGTGCTTGAGGCGAATCGCCGCCGCCTCGCTTCCAACTAAGTGAAAATAAGTACCACTAAATCAAAGCCAATAATTGGTATAAATATCCTAAACATATCAACAAAAAATAATTCTAACAATTTTCTTTTTACAAGTCAGCTTTTGGTTACCTAGCTTCTGGTTTGACCCATGCCGGCATAACTTTTGTTGTGATTCTGTTGTCCTCGTGTAAATCTTAATTAAGAATGAATACCCTACCAGCTTCAGATCTAATGGCTGCATCACATATGGCTAATTCTTTGAAAGTCAATGGAAGCAAGTCAAGTTGTCGCCTTGTACTTCTCAATGACTTGGCCGAAGCAAGCAAGCAAGTCAACAGCGGCCGAGCCGATCCTAATGTCTTGGAATTGGTTAAGTTCATTACTCAATATTATAAACTAGTTTGACACGGAAAGACTATAATGAGGGCTTAAAGTGAGGAGGTTATTTGAGGAGGTCAAATCTCACCATCAACAAATATAAAAAAATCATGGGACTTAAATATTTTAAATGTTTTGACGGTCGGATCGGTCTCCTCAAATAACCTCCTCACTTTAACTCCTCATTGTAGAAGCTCCCAGTTTGACATATCCTCAAATGGGTATCAACAGTTTCATTGTGGTGTGCTTAAAACCACAAGTCCTTTGAAACCTCGGCCCGTAAAGCCCGGCTCAATGACGAACCCTATACTTACAAAGGGCGTAGCAGTCTTTAAATCAGATTTTCCCCATGTATTATTCTAATCCAACGGTCGAGCAGTCCGGGCAATTTTATCTGTATTCATAAAATAATTCTAACAATTTCCATTTTACAACTCAGCTTTTCGAACCTACCTTTGTGGTGTTGAACAGCTTGTAGAGGCAACTGAAGAGAAATTGTAGGTTTGGGCTCTTAGATCTGATTTGGGCCCATGACTTACCTTTTGAAAAAGAGCGGCGAGGCCAGGCGAGTCAAACTCGATGCTTTAATGTGATGCATTGGCTTTTTCGGACAAATAACGTCATTCGCTATGTCAAAACAGCCTTTTGAGTTTGGAGGGCATTATTGGGATTTTGTTATTTTCGTTTTAATTAGGACACTAGCTATTCTACAGTTTGAGGTAGTTGTTGTTTTACCGAAGTGATTATGGTGTTATTCCTATTTTCATTATCAATGAACTGCGAGGTTCTCTCAATTTTCTGGTAGATTTCCAGTATCTTTGTTAGTTTGGCTATCCTTGAATTACCTTGTGTTGTCCTCTTGTAATTCCTAATTCCTACCTTGTGGATTGACTCAGGGCGGCACGCTTTGTCGTGATTGTGTTGTTTCTTCTCTTGTAAATCCTAGTTAAGAGTGAAGCCCCTCGCCAGCTTCCATCCAATGGCTGCATCACATATGTGGCTAATTCTTTGCAAGTCAGTGGAAGCAAAAGTGTTGTTTTTGGTAAATGGAAGCAAGTCAAGTTGTCGTCGTCATCAGAAAAGCTAGTCAGCCGTAGCTGATCGTAATGACTTGGACTTGGTTAAGCTCTGACTCAATGTTATAAACTAGTCATAAATTTGGCATCCCCTGAAATGGGAATTACCAATTTCACAACCCAAAACTCATATATAACCTTGCTCTGTACGTAGTTGATAAACAAATTCAAAATGGGGGTTTTGGTAATGAAACTAATTTTCATGTACTCACTTTTCAATGGAGTATTGTTGGTTTGCTCCAAGCATTTGGAGCTGGGAGGGAATGAGACTGATAGGCTGGCCCTGCTAGCCATCAAAGCTCAAATAAAGCAAGATCCTCATAATGTAACGAGCTCCTGGAATGAATCCATTCACTTTTGCTCGTGGCACGGTGTCTCCTGCGGTCGACGCCATCGCCAGAGGGTCACAAGGCTGGACCTCCGATCTCAAAAGCTGGCAGGGTCCCTATCCCCACACATAGGAAACCTAAGTTTCCTAAGGGCACTAGAGCTCCGAAACAACAGCTTTAGTCATGAAATCCCTCCACAAATTGGGCATTTGCATAGATTGCAGGTACTGTCTCTACAGAACAACTCATTTAGTGGCCCTATTCCATACAACATATCATATTGCTCCAACCTCATCTTCATGAGTTTCAGTTTCAACGGGTTGGTGGGTAAAATTCCATCTAAATTTGGCTCCTTGTCGAAGCTTCGAAGTTTTGTTTTAGAACATAATAATTTAACAGGAGAGATCCCTCCTTCCTTGGGAAACCTCTCGTCTCTCGAGGTACTTGCTGCCTTACGAAATAACTTGGTGGGAAGCCTCCCTACTTCTCTAGGCCAATTAAAAAAATTAACAGTTTTGTCATTGGCATAAACAACTTATCTGGTACCATTCCTCCCTCCATCTATAACCTCTCTGCTCTTTATTATTTTGGCGTAGGAATGAACAAAATTCAAGGGAGGCTTCCATCAGACTTGGGAAAAACTCTTCCTAATCTCCAAGTCTTTATAATTGGTATAAACCAATTCTTTGGATCTATTCCTCTCTCACTATCAAATGCCACAAGTTTACGGGTACTTCAAATTCAATATAACAACCTAACGGGACAGGTGCCGGATATCCGAAAGCTTCATAATCTATCCCTATTCGTCATTTATATGAATCATCTTGGAAGCGGTACAGATGGTGATTTGACTTTCGTCTCGGACTTGACCAATGCCACAGAGTTAAGGCAATTGCTTATATATGACAACTATTTTGGAGGATCGTTGCCCACATCAATATCCAACCTCTCGACCAAGCTTGAAGCGTTTTGGTTGTACGAAAACCAAGTACGTGGAAGCATCCCGACAGACATAGGGAAGTTGGTCAGCTTGGAATCGTTGTTAATGAATCAAAATCGACTCACCGGTAGCATCCCCACTGAAATTCAGAAGCTTTCAAGCCTTGTGGAATTAGATATTTCCATGAATGCATTATCAGGAAGCATTCCATCCTCCTTAGGAAATTTGACCAAGTTATACAAACTCTTCTTACAAGGAAATAATCTTGAAGGCGTCATCCCTTCAAGCTTGGGGAATTTCCAGCGGTTGATAGTATTGGATTTATCTAATAATAAACTTAGCGGCGCAATACCTCAACAAGTTATCGGCCTCCCGTCCTTATCACTGCTTTTGAACTTGTCGACGAACAACTTTACGGGTTCTCTTCCGATGGAGGTTGGAAAGTTGAAGAGTCTAGGTGTACTGGACGTTTCTAATAACATGTTATCCGGTGAACTTCCTAGTAGCCTTGGTTCATGTGAGAGTTTAGAAGTTTTGCACTTGCAAGGCAACTTCTTCAAGGGGTCTATTCCCTCATCTATGATTGGGGTGAAAGCAATAGAAGAATTAGACCTTTCTCGCAACAATTTGTCGGGTGAAATTCCAAAATTCTTAGGGGGCTTTGTCTTCTTGAAGAAACTAGACCTATCATTCAATGAATTTTGGGGAGCGGTACCAACTGGAGGAGGTGCTTTTAAAAATGCAAGTGCGATTTCAATTACCGGCAACACCAAGCTCTGCGGGGGAATTGCTGATCTCCAACTGCCCAAGTGCAAGTCCCAAAAAGGAGGATCATCTCGTAGCTCGAAATTAATAATCCCGTTAGTACTTTCCGGACTTGCTCTTCTTGGAATAGTTATGGTGATGTCCTATTTCTTCCTCTGTTCGTCAAGAAGAAAAAGGAAAGAGATTCCGCTGAGCACATTGGCGAACAATTTTTTGCAAGTGTCATATGCTACTCTCCTAAGAGCTACTGACGAGTTCTCTTCGGCTAATTTGATTGGGGCAGGCAGTTTTGGGTCTGTGTACAAAGGAATTCTTGATGATAATGATAAACATCAACTTGTTGCTGTGAAGGTGTTCAACTTGTTACGCCATGGAGCATCGAAGAGTTTCATGGCCGAATGTGAGGCTTTAAGAAACATCAAGCATCGAAATCTTGTCGAGATTATAACTGCGTGTTCAAGTGTTGACTTTCATGGTAATGACTTCAAGGCTCTGGTTTACAAGTACATGGACAGAGGAAGCTTAGAGGAGTGGCTGCATCCTCCTACTGAAATTGAAGAGGTAAGAGAGGCACTCAATCTAGAGCAAAGGCTAGACATTGCGGTTGATGTCGCTTGTACATTGGATTATCTTCATAATCATTGTGAAACACCGATAGTTCATTGTGATCTCAAGCCAAGCAATGTTCTTTTGGACAACGAGATGACTGGACATGTTTCTGACTTTGGCCTCGCAAGATTTCTCTCCCAAGAAGCTGGTATTAATGTTTCCAACAATCACACAAGTTCCATTGGAATAAAAGGAACAGTTGGTTATGCTGCTCCAGGTAAGTGGTGTCCTTTTTTTCTTTTTAAATCTTACAAAGTTTAGCTATTTTACTAACAATTGTGCTGATAATATCTTATGATGTTTCAATGGTAGAGTACGGTATGGGAAGTGGGGTGTCAACAAATGGAGATGTCTACAGCTTTGGTATTCTTCTGTTAGAGATGTTCGTAGGAAAGCGACCCACCGACGACATGTTTAATGGGGACCTAAACCTTCATACTTATGTTAAAGTGGCTTTCCCTAATCGAGTTATGGAGATTGTAGATTCAACACTGTTTGAAGGAGGCACCAACGAGAGAAGGGTTCAAAAGATTGAGGTATGCTTGAATTCAATACTTAGAATTGGAATTGAATGCTCTGCTGATTCTCCAACGGATCGTCTGAAGAATATCAGTGATGTTGCATCTGAGTTGCATTCCATTAGAGACGTTCTTCTTGGTTAGGAACTTTTTCTGCTACGAGTTTGTGTGATGGGGATATTATTTTTTATGTGCTGCCTGAGAAATATTCTTCTTGTTGCTGCTGCTAGCCTGCTACAGTAGATGGGAGTTCTGCTACTACTACGTGGTTTTATTTGTGTGTTTGTGCCTGAAGCCCTTAGAAATGTGATCAAAGCTATCAAACTATTGCATCTTGTGTAAATATCTTATCTTAAATAAATCTGAAAGTGCACTTGATCTTGTTGTTTGGTCCAAATACGTTCTCTAAAAACTCTATGACGGCCATTTCCTAAGCCCATGCCTATTGTGCAGTCTTCCAAAGATAATTGCGTGCTTGCAAATGCAAACGGGTCTAACTTAGCGAAAAAGTGTGTTTGAAAAATCATCGTCCCCCTTATTACTTTGACTATCGATTGTATTCAAAAGTTGAAAACAACAAAAATATAATCGCGTACTCACATGAGCTAACCCATTGTGGCACTATATAGTTATTGCCCTATCTTTCATGATTGATTTTCCTCCCATGTATAATATAAAGGTGTCTTTATTCATCTGTTTAATTAATTAGGTATTGAAAGTTGGAATATTTTATGTTACTTTTGTTTCGTTCAACAAAAAATTTAAGTTGATCAGTTCATATTCATTGTTGGTGAATTATTTTGGCTGGTGAAATAATGAAGGGAACTAATAACATCTTGTAGGTAGGTGTGCTGAATTAGTTTGACTGGTGAAGTAGGTGGTGAAGTAACGAAGGGAAGTAATAGCCAACAAACAAATAAAACAGAAAAAGAATAGCCAAAATATCTGTGTGACAGCTCATATCCCTCACTTCCCTTCTTTACTCTCGTCGTCTCATGTGCTCTCACTCATCATATGTAGTCTTTCCTGTGCAGCCTCTCTTGATCTTACCGAATACCCGAAAGGCAGAGAGAAGACACTTCCAACCAATGTCAAGGGTATGATCTTACCGAATAACTATTCTTTTTTTTATATTTTTATAACAGCCAATAACTCCCTCCGATTAATTTTCAGGTTGTCATTAGTTTCTTCAAGCATAGGAACTCTTAAATTGGTTTTATAAATTGGTTTTTAAAACTCTTTCCTTCAATCATATTTGTTTTTGCTTAAAGTTTGTTTTTAGTATCACACAAGTTCATATTCATCTTTCTCTACTTTCAATTTTAGGTAGTAAATTAGAAATTGTTTATACATAAATTGCTAAATAGTCCTTGAGGAGAACGACCTTGCATGAGCATCTATACTAAATAGCCTTGTATTCTTGCAAGTATTTTATGTGATTTTAACCCAGCTTGCACAGGTACTAAAAATCCTATCAAAAAATTGGCGTCGTTGCCGGGGACTATTTTAGATAATTTTTGTTTAAACTTTTTCTGATTTATTATTATTATTATTATTATTATATATTAATTAGCATTAAAAAAAATGAACAGTTTCGTTTCTGTTTCAAATTCTGCAGACTGCATGGTCCAGACCAGGTCAAGAATTGCACAAATTGCACAATTTGATCCAAAACCAGAGCGCACCCTGCACAGACAACAAAGAGAAGTTAATTGGGCCTGGGACTATTCACTGCAGGGCACTTTTCTGCAGAATTTGTTTGCAGACGAGGGCATCATGGCATTAGAATTACCTGCAGCAGGCAGACCACTCAAGGAGTCATTGGCAGCCCGTGCCACTGATGTCCCCAATTGCATTGTGTATCCTAAACAAGAAGAGGGTGATTCGTTCGAAATCAAGCACCATATGCTTGAAATTCTACCCACTTTTCGAGGGCCGCCTAATGAAGATGCAAACATACATATTGCAAAGTTTATTGAGGGTTGCAAAAATATTTTGATTAGGGGTTTTTCTGCTGAAGCTATTAAATTACGTATTTTCCCCTTTCACTTTGAAGGACAATGCAGAAACTTGGTTATTCACTCTACCAACAAATAGCATTACTACTTGGCAACAGTTACACACAAAATTCCTGAACAAATATTATCCAGCATCCAAGACATTGAATTACAAGAGGGAGATTTTGACATTCACACAGAAGCCTAATGAAGAGTTTCATGAAGCATGGGAGAGATATACAGAGATGTACATAAAGTGTCCACATGTTAATATTGATTCATATACACATATGAACATTTTCTTTGACGGGCTTAATCCTACATCTAAAAGCCATGTGAATGCATCAGCTAGAGGATCGTTGTCAAATAAATCTGCAAGAGAGGCATTTCAACTATTTGATATGATGGCTACAGAATCTCAGCAATGGGCAGCATAACATTCACAGAAAAATGGCATTTTTGAGTTGTCAGCAGGATCTCCCAACATGTTTGCACAAATGGAAAAAATAGAGAAGAAAATTGATACAAAGTTTGATATTCTTCTACAATAAATTGCAAATTCTACACAACAGCAACTACATACACCTTGGATAGAAACTTTTATGTGCTGCCTGGGAAATACTCTTGCTGCTGCTGCTACTTCTATTGGTGTATTTGGGCATGGAGCCCCGCAAATGTGATCAAAATTATCAAACTACCGCATCAATTTTGTAGGCCTGCAATTATTGGTGTCTGTAGTCCTGTTGCTACAACTATTTCGTCGTTTTATTGGTGTGTTTGGGCCTGCAGAGGCCGAAATGTGATCAAAGTCAGCTACTACATCTTGTGTAAATCTGTTATCTTAGTCGAATGTGAAACTGTTTGGGCCACACTTGATCATGTTGCCAATCGAATTGAGAAATTGTGTCGAGTGTGAAGTGTGAAGTCTGTTATATATCTTAGTCAAATGTGAAGTGTGAAGTTTCTAGCTTCATATTTGCCCATCTATTGTTTCTGATCTGAAAAACAAGCTATGGTGAAACTAATCTATTGTTTCTGATTTAAGAATTAAAAACAATTTCTTTAAAAAAACCTTGCTTCTAATGATCGAAAGCAATTGGACATAATAGAACTGCGTTTGCTATTTTCATTCATGTTTCTTGAAATTATGATCACAAATATATATCGGCATAGTCATTCATATGAGTCAAACATGAGATCTATCCCAACCAAGTGAAGAGCTAAACTATCACATTGTAAAGATAGTTTTACTTACAAATATCCTACCGTGTGTCAACAAAAAAACAATCCCAACATTTTTTCCTTTTACAAGTCGGCTTTTGATTGCCTACCTTGTTGTGACTTGACCCATGTCCTCTAGTAGATCTTAATACAGGGGCGAAGCCCCACACCAGCTTCCAATCCAATTGTCTGCATCATGCATATGACTAATTCGTTGCAAATCAGTGAAAAGCAAGTAAGTTGCTATGTTGCCATCATTAAGTCATCAAGTCATCCTCGGAAGAAAAGTCAACAGTCGTTGCGGTTTGATAATCTAGTTAACTTGTGTTTGGAAAAGACAGTATTTTGGGATTAGTGGTGGGCACGGTCTGACTTGGTCTGATTTTAACAAAGAAATTATCCGATTTGGTGTGAGCTAGTTTGTCCATAAACTGGTTCGGTTTCCAGTTTTGGACCGGATTTTTTTTTTGAATATATTTTTTTAAAATCCAACTAAAATTTTATTTTTAGAGCTTCAAAATTCACAAATGGCCCAATTTCAAAAGGAGGTGATTGGATCTATAAAAGAGAGGTGATTTGGAGTTGGGTTTAAGGAAAGATTAGTTATGGGTTTAGAAATTTAGCATTGGAGTTAAATATTTTATTAAAAAATTAAAAAATACACAGTCGGCCCTGATTCGGTCTGATCTAATTTTTTCACTACGAGAATCGAAACCGAAATCAGACCAATGAGGTTTTTGGTCAACTCGGTCTAATTTCTATCCTCATATCCTACCCATTAGGGTCAAAGACCCTTACCCTTGGAGAAAATTGTCATCCCTACTCCTAGTTTGTATTCTGAAATGAATTTTTGAGGGCATTGGATATGTGATTGCCCTAATAAAATTGAAAATCAAGACATATATTTAGAGAGAGGTTTATTAATTATATTTTGATCTCACCCAGGATACTTATCATTGCCATTATTCTTTTCATCTTTCTTCTACAGCCTTATGTCATATCCACATGTTGTCAGATCTGTAAACATGTATTTGTATTTTCATAAAGTCCATGGTGTGGAATTCTTATATGTATGACTTATATGAGAAGAAAAAAAAATTGTATAACACAATATTGTTTTCGTTTAATAACAATCCACTGAATTGAATTCAAGCAAACCAACGTATGATTGATGCCAGAAGAAATCGACCACTGGCCTTCATCAACAAGTCGGTCCAAATTAATATTTGCACATTATTGAATTTTGCTTAGGTTTATTTCTTCCACTACACGTTGGTGGAAATGTATATGAGTGAATAATTGTTAAATTTTGTATCGTTGCTGGGGCTGTTTCCACTCAGCTTCCTTCCTACCTCTCAGTATGGTTTCAAGAGATTGTAGCCTCTGAAATGGTCTTGGTCCTCGGAGTTTTCTAGCATTAATTTGTGTAATTGTCATTTTCGAAGCAAGTCAACAGGGGTTGTCCATATCTTGGACTATAATTAATTAATCATTCCTCCAGAAATTGGGCATTTGCGTAGATTGCACGTTTTACGTTTAGATAATAACTCAATATAACTAGTTATCACGATAAACTGTAGTAATAGAATTTGGGGTTGTGTAATACAACACATCTAGAAAAGATTGCTGATAATAATAACAATTCTGAAATTCATCAACTAATCTTTGGTATAGTGGTAAGTAGTTGTCTCCACTTCGATGACGAATATATCTTAATTTGACTCGGATAAGTAGGAGGAATCTAACTTTGTTATATGGATGAATTATCACGCGTAAAAATAGGGAGATTTACTATTATACTCAATATAGGAGTTCAAATTATAAATTAAAAAAAACCCTATATGAATTGGATTTTAGAAACACACTTAAAACTCATTTACAACATAACAAAAAGGTTTTTAACTTCTTTTAAATTACAAAACTATCATTGATTTTTTAAACAAACACAACCCCAAAACCTCATAAAAAACCCAAAACACTCAATAGGGCATCAAAGTAATTTAATAATCAAAATTAAATTTAATATGGCTAGCTGTCATTTTTTGAGTTTTTTTTGGGTGTATTTATAGAAATTAAATGGTGTAGGGTTTATCTATAGAGTGCTGCTAAATAAACCCTAAAATTAACTGAGGACACCATACTATCAAATTATTTATTGAATGACTAATTTACCCTAATATAAAATGACCAAAAAGGATATATTGAATTGTGAAACAAATATAATTTTAGTAAATACACCCTACTCATAACAATCATTGAAGATATTAGTTGGATCTAAAGTTCAAATATTAGAAGGCATTTGGGAATTAGTTTTCATTTGAATCAAGTTTTGCAGTAGCTATTAGACCCATATAGCTTGCTGTCGAACCAGTTTGAACAAATTCGTTATATGAAGACTAAATCAAAACCCCATTGAGATGAGAACAAAAGGAATTTGCATAACAAAAAAAAGCCAGATTTTGTTCAAAATGACTCCTTTTAATGTGAAGAACAAAAGCTTTAGAAGAAATTAAAATATGACGTGGCAATTGAGATGTGATATAGTGTATTAGGGTGTACCAAAGGTATTTTGTGTAGTTAAATAAGGTGTACTTAGTTAATTTTACATTTTGATTTAAATATTAAGGTGTACTTAGACCATAAGGTGCACTCATAAAAATATCACATTGTTTGCCAACAAAGTCATGGGGTGATTGAGGGAGTGAAGCCCCCATCAGCTTCCAATACAATGACAGCGTCTGCGTGATGTATGGCTAATTCTTTGCAAGTGCCAAATGGAAGCAAGTCAAAGTTTTGTGTCTTTGGAAAGCTAGTCAACCGTGGCTGATCGTAATGACTGGGACTTAGTTAAGCGCATTACTCAATCTTTCACACAAAAATAACAACACTTTAGTTTATTACCTAAACAATTCTTTTAAAAACCTCAACCAAATATGTAAGGGCATTTTGGTCCAACTTGCTTTTAAACACCCTTAAATCCATCATTTTCAATCCAAATTTACTTCATAAAATATCCACACTCACTCTATAGCATAATATTATTTTTTACCATTTATGAAAAATAAACTTAAAATTTCGGGTTATTACAGTTCAGGTCAGATCCAACGGTTCCAAATTTTTTACCCTTGGAGAACATTGTCATCCCTACTCCTAGTTTGTTTTCTGAAATGAATTTTTGAGGGCACTGGATATGTGATCGCCCTAATAAAACTGAAAATCATGACATATATATTAGAGAGAGGTTTATTAATTATATTTTGATCGATTTTTAGAATTGAATTGCATGTTCTGTTGAATCCCCAACATCGCTTGAAGAATATAAACGATGTTGTGTTGAGCTGCAGTCCATTAGGAAATCGCAAAGGTGAATAACCCTCCATTTGGATAAGGGAAAATAAATTGGAATTTAGCTAAAAATCGGGAATTTAAGAGGAGAAATTGACAATTCCCTTGTTTGGCAACTTAAGAGTGGAATTTATTAAATGATGCACAGAAAAAATCGTGGAAATTGGGGCATCAAATTCTTGAGTTTAATTTCTACCAAAATAGGCATCATTTTATAATTTTCATGGTGCCATTTACAAAATTCGACATACATAAATCCAAACATTGAAATCTTTAATTACTATAAATTTAAATAATGGAAATTTAAATTCCGTCATTTTAGAATTCTATGTAATTTTCATCAAATCAAATGGAGGGTAACTGTTTTAATGGAGTGAAAGAGAAAAGCTGCCTCTTGAATATGAGCCATCGGATTCAGATGATGTAGACTTGCTGATTTATAACCAACGGTTGAGAATGCCAGTTGCCATGTGGGAAATGCATAACAATAAACTTGTGGCAAATGCATAATATATAGGAAAGGAAAAAGATACATTGACAAAAGTGTGTGTTATTTACATTTTAATAAACTATTGTTTGCTAGTTTTGAGATTCATTCACAAGAATTTTAGTTTAAATACCAACATTTTACTTTATGTGCAACCAAACAATTCCTAGCTCCTCCCTCCTTTGCAGGCATCGTTTCCGGTCAGCCTCCAGCCGCCATTGTCGACTACTGGCGACAATTTTCAGTCAGTACCCTGCCAACCACCATCATCTTAAGGAAAAAAAATCACATATTAAACTGCGCGACATTCATCAATTTCTTGGCTTAAATTTTTAGCTTTATTTTGTTCTTATTTATTGATTTGGGAAACACTGTGACACACATAAATAAGCAATTGGCTGATAGTCAGTGATCAAAATCAACGTCAGCCCGGTCCAAGCAAGAGGGCCACGTCGGTCCTCTTGCTTAAATTAAAGCATAGCACCAAACCAAGTCTGAATGCCATTATTATAAATTTAAGATTTGAGCTGCCATGCATATTATTGGCGTCTGTAGGCCTGCCATAGTTCAATTTTGTTTCTTTGGGGCTTTTACCCGTGTCTCACCAAACAAAGAAATAATTAAGCTCCCAAATAAATTTAACCAACTCAACACCTATAGAGTTTTGAAGCTTAATTGTCCACTGAATAATGTTACTTCTCAACATCTGTCATCAACTTTGTTTTTATTCAATAGGGGAAGAGAATTCGAACTTAGGATCGTTTCCAACGTTGAGAAAAAAAGTATCATTAGACTAAGAATTGTTAGTTGTTAGAGTAAATTAGTGTGTAAAATTTGTTGGTATTAGGATTTTTCTAAAATGCCTACAACAATTATGTCTTGAAGCTCTTTTTTATTTTTATGTTTTTATTTTTTTTATTTTTTTGCCAAGAATTATGTCTTGAAGCTTAAGCTTGCTGACTTTGTCAAAGTTGGTGGACATGTCTTGAGTTCTCTACACTTCTCTAGATTTTTTTAACACAAATGAGGATTAACTTTTAACACAATTTGCAACTTCACACCGAAAACAACAGTAGTCGCCATTTCGGAAGCAAGCCAAGTCGTCTTGGGAAAAGACAGTACTTGGACTTGGTTAGGTTCATTACTCACGTTTACACACATTTACATTTTCAAGAACTACAACGTGTGATGCAGGATGTTCTACATCCGTGTTATAAATTAGATTGTCATGCCTCAAATGGAAATTACCAATTTCACAACCAAATACCCATCTCCTCTCTATACACCAAAAACTAAAAATAAAATATGGGGGTTTTTGTTGCGAGATTCATCTTATTATACTCACTTTGCATTGCAGTTTTGTTCGTTCCCTGTGTGACCTCCATGAATTTGAGAATGGGAGGGAACGAGACGGATAAGCTGGCACTGTTAGCCATCAAAGCTCAAATAAAGCGAGATCCTCTTAATGTAACGAGCTCCTGGAATGAATCCATTCACTTTTGCTTCTGGTACGGTGTCACCTGCAGTCGACGACACCATCAAAGGGTCAAAATGCTAGACCTACAATCTCAAAATCTTGCAGGGTTCTTATCACCAAACATAGGAAATTTGAGTTTCCTGAGGGAACTACGGCTCCAAAACAACAGCTTTAGCCATGAAATCCCTCCACAAATTGGGCATTTGCATAGATTGCAGGTATTACGTCTAGACAATAAGTCATTTACTGGCTATATTCCAAACAACATATCATATTGCCTCAACCTCATCTTTGTGCATTTGGGCCACAACATGCTCGTAGGCAAAATTCCTCCACAAATCAGCTCCTTATCGAAGCTTCAAATACTTGTTGTACAAGTTAACAAATTAACAGGGGAGATCCCTCCATCCTTGGGGAACCTTTCATCTCTCGAGGTACTTGCTACAGCTTACAATAACTTGGTGGGAAGCATCCCTCCTTCGCTTGGTCAATTGAAAAAACTAACATTTTTGTCATTGGGCTAAGTTATCTGGTACCTTCCTTCCTCCATCTATAACCTCTCTGCTCTTTTTACTTTATCCATAATACAAAACCAAATTCAGGGGGACTCTTCCTTCAGACTTAGGTAAAACTCTTCCTAACCTCCAAGTCTTTAACATTGCCAATAATCAATTTACCGGATCCATTCCCCTCTCCATATCCAATGCCACAGGTTTATTAAAATTTGAAGTTCAAAGTAACAAACTATCCGGACAGGTGCCGGATTTTCAAAAGGCTCGTGACCTCCAGTATTTCAACATTCAACGTAATCATCTTGGAAATGGTAAAGATGGCGACTTGAATTTTCTCTCAGACTTGACCAATGCCTCAGAGTTAAAAAAGTTGATTATAGCCAATAACGATTTAGGAGGGATGTTGACCACATCAATATCCAATCTCTCAACCACGCTTCAAAAATTTTGGTTTCAAAATAACCAACTAGATGGAAGCATCCCAGATGAGATAGTGAATCTGGTCTGCTTGGAATCGTTGGTGATGTGGCGTAATCGCTTCACAGGTAACATCCCCACTAACATTGGGAAGCTCTCAATGCTTGTGGAATTAGATATTGCCATGAATGAATTATCAGGAAGCATTCTGTCCAGTCTAGGAATTTTAACCAAGTTAAGCAAACTCTTCTTGGACAATAATAATCTTCAGGGCATCACCCCTTAAGGCCTAGGGGAATGCCGGTCGATGAAACTATTGGATCTCTCTAGTAACAACCTTAGTGGCACAATACCTCAACAAGTTATTGGCCTCCCCTCCTTATCAATTCTTTTGAACTTGTCTACAAACCACTTTACTGGTTCTCTTCCTATGGAGGTTGGAACATTGAAGAACCTAGGTAAACTGGATGTTTCTGATAACATGTTATCCGGAGAACTTCCTAGGAGCCTTGGTGGTTGTGAGAGTTTAGAAGTCCTACACTTGCAAGGCAACTGCTTCAATGGTCCCATTCCTTCGTCTGTGAGTTCGTTGAGGGGGATTCAAGATTTAGACCTCTCTCGCAACAATTTCTCAGCTGAAATTCCAAAGTTTTTTTGAGGGCTTTCTTTTTCTGAAGAATCTGAATCTATCTTTCAATGACTTTTGGGGACGGGTACCAAATGAAGGTGTCTTAAAAAATGCAAGTGCGATTTCAATTGCTGGGAACACTAGTCTCTGTGGAAGTATTGCTAATCTCCAACTGCCTAAATGCAACTTCAGAGTCCAAGAAACGAGGATCATCTCATAGCTTGAAATTAATAATCCCTTTAGAAGATAGGCTTCCTCTTCTAGGAATAGCTATGGTGCTGTCCTATTTCTTTTTTCGTTCGCCCAGAAAGGAAAAGAAGGAAATTTCATTGAACACTTTGGAGAACTCTGTTTTGCAAGTATCATATGATACTCTCCTCAAAGCTACCTGTTTGTACAAATTTCCCAACGAGAATATTCGATTGGAAAGATTCCCCTTTCTTCTTCGCCGCCTCCTTCTCCCTGCAAAATAGAACCAATAAGAGGACCACACCCGGGGGGTGTTGGCCAAAGGCCCTCCGATGCCTAAATTAGTTCAATTGAATCATATAGAAAACAATAGCTAATAGGGTACGGAGATGTGTTTATGGTATAAACCGGGCAGCCGTAGCCTTATCTAAAAGAGAGAGAGAAAGGAGGTGGCTAGGGTTTGAGAGGAATTTTCTGCAGAGTTTCAGTAGGGATTTCAGACGTACCTCAACCCTTGTGTGTGGCCATCCTTTTATAGTTGTCTTGGAGGCTAGGGTTTCATAGGAATAATTTCGTAGATGGAATGGAATTATTCCTCCCCTTTTTGGAATTGATTTGATTAATTAGGGATTTGATTTATTAGGGTAAATCAAATCCCTAATTGTGGTAGGTATCAAATCAAATCCCATTTTAATTAGGTAACTCCTCATTTAATTGGGAATCGGGGTAGGAATCAAATCAATTCTCAACCTAATTAGGTAATCTTCAATTTAATTGGGTAATCCCCAATTAAATTGAGTAACTCCCAATTAGGTTGATTAATTCCCAATTAGGTCAAATAATCCCCAAATGGAAGGAATCATTTGACCTAGGGTCTGATTTAATTCGGTTCCCACAAATGCCCCCCAGCTTCTGCATGGCGCGTGGTGGCATGTAGGAGATTAAGATTATCCGTTGGGCTGTCCAGCCGTACTGGGCTTCCTTCGTGACTTGGGCTCCTGAGTGGAAAAAGTTGGTGGTCTGCCCCCTGCTCAGGATGTTAAGAGATGGGAGTAAAATGGTCCATATTCTGATGATCTGCTTGCCGTACATGAAGAGTGTTATGCTGAGTCTCTCTCAAAGAGAAAGGTTATTGCCAAATCTTCAAGAGGTGAAGCTACTCCTTCGAACGCAAAGAATGGATCTCCATCGAGGAAGAAGCCAAGGCTCCCTTTTGCTGAGAATACTCAAGTGGGGTCTGCTCCACCATCATCTGCCAGGGTCAAGCATCTCGTGGGTGCAGATAGCACGAAGGTTGGTGGTATGCGCGGTGCTCGAGGTGTTCTGCCCAAGCCTCCTGCTGACACGCTCGAAAACCATGATATGCTTCGTGAAGCAGCTCGTACCCGGCCTAGTTCTGCCGAGCGTCAAAGAGATGTAGACATTCTTCCTCGAAGTTCGAGTCGTCTGCATCAGTCAAGAGATGGAGATCGAAGTGGGAAGTCTGCTCACAATCCAGTTGTTGAGTCACGGGCAGTCAAGCGTGGAGTTGATTCAGTATCATTGACTCCTTTGGAGATGAGGTTGGCGGAGGCTAAGAAGACTGGAGAGTCATCTGCTCGGGCGAAGAGATCTTCAGTGTCGGCGGTTGATCCCAAGGTGAACAAGTCCAGCCCTGCAGGGGATGCATGCATGTCTGACCTGCTCGAGACGAACTTTCAATTAAACCCGTCCTCTTGTGCTGAGTTGGTCGATCACATCTGTCAGGTTGGCGATCTCGGCACCTTCTTAAGTCTTTCCTTGGAAAAACAAAGGGAAGCAACATTTCATCTGCTTAAAAAATGAGTAGTTTGCTTTCTTGTTTAGAATAATTGGTCTTTTTTGACCATATTCTTGTTGTTGAACTTGGCCGGTTGGTCATTTTGTTATGGAAATTTCAGTTGTTACTCTCAACTTTCAATTTGCATATCGACCTGTGAACTGTTAAGTAATCAGCTTCTGTCTTAATTGCACTTCTTCTTTGGAGATTTATGAGTGACAGGGTTCCCTTTGGGGGATTCCGAGCGTATTCTGCACATCCCGTATGATGTTTTTCCCTTAGAAAGTTGTCGAGTGCCAGGGTCCCCCTTGAGGGACTCTGGGCGTGTCCTGCACATCCCTTAGGATGATTTCCCTTAGAAAGTTGGTGAGTGCCAGGGCCCCCCTTAAGAGGCTCCGGGCGTGTCCTACACATCCCTTAGGATGGTTTCCCTTAGGAAGTTGGCGAGTGCCAGGGCCCCCCTTAAGAGGCTCCGGGCGTGTGCTGCACATCCCTTAGGATGGCTTGGTCGTCGCCCTGCGTCTCCGGAAGGACGCTGCTTATGGGCAACTGTGTGTCTATCCTGCCTCCCTTAGGAAACGGATAGGAACCTGGATACTTCCCGCAGAAGGCATGGAGACCTTCTTTTAAGAAATTCCTAGCGCACCCTGCGTCTCCCTTAGGACGCTTTTTACGGGCTGCGTCTCCCGAAGGACGCTTTGGTCGTCGCCCTGCGTCTCCCTTAGGACGCTGCTTATGGGCAACTGCGTGTCTATCCTGCCTCCCTTAGGAAACGGATAGGAACCTGGATACTTCCCTCATAAGGCATGGAGACCTCTTTTAAGAAATTCCTGGCGCACCTTGCGTCTCCCTTAGGACGCTTCTTACGGGCTGCGTCTCCCGAAGGACGCTTTGGTCGTCGCCCTGCGTCTCCCTTAGGATGCTGCTTATGGGCGACTGATTTGTGGTGATCTGTCTGCCAATGGATTGTGAGCTTTTGTCAGTGGCCAGCGATTGTGGGCAGCCAAACCGGCAGATGATGTTTCTCCAGATGAATCGCTCCACATCGGCTTCTTTAATAGAGGATAGAGCTTCTGCCTCGATCCATTTAGTAAAGTAGTCGGTGGCGACAATCATCCATGTCCTTCTTGTCGGGCACGGGTGGCAAGAGACCCACTAAGTCAATGACTCATTGCATGAATCGCCATGGACTATTTTGCATATGGTCAACTTCGGCAGGCAGGTTAGGGATCGGCTTGTATCGCAGGCAGCGATCACACTTTTTGACATATTCAGCGGAGTCGTGGCGCATGGTAGGCCAGAAGTAGCCTATGTTTAGAGCCTTCTAGGCGACTGATTTGCCCCTAGAGTGGTTGCCACACTCGCCGCCGTGAATTTTGCAGAGGACCTCAAGTGTTTGAGGGTATTTTATGCAGGCGAGATGAGGACCGGAATATGATCTGCGGATGAGCTTGCTGCCTTGCATATAGTATCTCACGGCCTTCTACTGGACCTTCCTAGCTTCGGACTTGTCCGTTGGCAGGTTCCCACTCGCTAAGTAGTCGATGATAGGGTCTTGCCAGTTGGGGTCCTCGTCAATTTGCATTATGTCGATTGGCTATATTTCTTCAATGCTTGGTCGGTCAAGGTGTTCGACCAGGATGGAGCATCTAAACTAGGCATCCAGTGCTGACCCTAGGCTGGCTAGTGCGTCTGCATACGCGTTCTCTGCCTGGGGTACTTGTTGGATGGTGAAGGTAGGAAACGCCTTCAACAACTCCTGGACTTTGTCAAGGTACAAGATCATCCTTGGGTGCTTCGCCATGTATTCACCTGACGCTTGATTCGTGATCAGCTGGGAATCTGAGTAGATGGCTAGCTTCTTGATTGCGAGTTCCTTTGCCAAGCGCAGGCCGGCGAGCAGTGCCTCGTATTCTGCCTCGTTGTTCAAGATCGGGAAGCCAAGCGTGATAGCTTGCTCCAACAAGGTTCCATCCGGGGTGATGATGACGACACCCGCTCCAGCTCCTTTTTGGTTTGACGCTCCGTCTACCCGCAACTGCCACGTGTCTCTAGGTTGGCTAGGTTCAGCGGAGGTCCCGTTTGCTTTTGAACTTTCCTTCTTTTCGTTGACCATTTTCTCTTCTTCGGCAGATGGGGTGAACTCTGCTACGAAGCCAACTAAAGTCTGGGCTTTTATTGCAGCTTTTGGTCGGTAGAGGAGGTCATATTGGCTTAGCTCTATAGCCCACTTCATGAGTCGCTGAGAAGCATCAGGGCTATGAAGGATTGATCTCAAAGGAAAGTCGGTCATGACGATGACTCGATGAGCTTGGTAGTAGGGTCGTAGCTTTCTCGCGGAAACTACAAGAGCCAAAATGAGTTTCTCCAATTTTGGGTAACGAGTCTCTGCATCGAGGAGAGCTTTTGACTTGTAGAATACCGGATGTTGGGCCCCCAGCTCTTCTCTGATGAGAGCTGAGCTGACAGCTGAGTTGGACACTGCCAGGTACACGAACAAGTCCTCACCAGGGACTGGCTTTGAAAGCAGGGGAGGTGAAGTGAGATAGGCCTTCAGACTCTGGAAAGCTACTTCGTACTCCTCATCCCATTTGTCTCTTTGTCCTTTCTTCAAAGCTTTGAAGAATGGTTTGCACTTGTCGGTTGATCTTGAGAGGAACCGGTTGAGGGCCGCTGCTCTGCCCGTCAGACTTTGTATTTCCTTCACTGTGGAAGGCGACTTCATCTCAAGAATAGCTTTGATCTGACGTGGGTGTGCCTCGATACCTCGTTGTGTGACTAAGTATCCCAAGAATCGGCCGGGGGATACACCAAATGTGCATTTACTTGGGTTCAACTTCATGCGATACTGGCGGAGCAGGCTGAATGTCTCAGCAAGGTTTTTGAGGTGATCTGCATGTTTTGGGGCCTTGACCAGCATGTCGTCCACGTATACCTCCATAGTTTTGCCGATCTGCTCCTTGAAGATTTTGTTCACCAGTCTTTGGTAGGTTGCTCCGGTGTTCTTCAGCCCAAAAGGCATGACCTTGTAGCAGTAGGTCCCTCTCTCGATGATGAAAGAAGTTTTCGCCTTGTCATCCTTGTGCATGAAGATTTGGTTGTAGCCGGAGTAGGCGTCCATGAAGCTGAGTAGCTGATTGCCAGAAGTGGAATCCACTAGTTGGTCGATTCTTGGCAATGAAAAGTTGTCTTTTGGGCACGCTTTGTTGAGGTCGGTGTAATCGACGCAAACTCTCCACTTTCCCTTCTCTTGTTTTGCCACTAGAACAACGTTAGCGAGCCACTCCGAGTAGGAGACCTCTTCAATGAAGCTGGCAGCTAGGAGTTTATCAATCTCGGCTTCGATGATGGCGACCCGCTCGGGTGCGAAGTTGCGCCTCTTCTGCACCACTGGTTTGCAGGCAGGGTTGACGTGGAGTCGGTGACATATGATGTTCGGGTTGATACCAGGCATGTTTGACGGCGACCATGCGAACATATCTTTGTTGTTCTGGAGGAAGGTGGTAAGTTTCACCTTCTCGTCTGGGCTTAGGCGCGAGCCAATCTGCGTTTTTTTGTCTGGCTGGTCAGGATCCAAGGGTATTAACTCGACGTCCTCCTCGGGCTTCCATCCTTCTTCAGGAAAGACCTCTGGACAGATTTCCTCGGCTTGGTCCTGACGCTTTGATTGCTATAAGATAGCAAGGTTCGATTGTTCCACCTCCTTCAGATCTGCCTGGCTTACCGGGAGGAACTGCTCTTGCTTGCTTTTCTTCAGCCCTTGGGCGGAGCATTTCCTCGTCATTGCCTGATCGCTGTTGATTTGTCCAACACCGCCCCCAGGAATTGGGTACCGAATTTTCTGATGTGTGGCAGAGGTGATGGCGTTGATTATGCGGATCCATGGCCTGCCCAGAATGCCGTTGTAGGGTGAGACCTCATTAATGACCATGAACGTTTGCAAGCAGACTATAGGTGGGGAGTAGACGTCGAGGTCTATCATGCCCACGGTAACCGTTGTTGCACCATTGAAGCCGGTCAGCAATTTGGCTGATTTGTTGATCTTTGCCTCCAAGCCCATCTGCTGGATGACAGCCAGCTGCAGGATATTGGCTGCTTTGCCCTCGTTTGCATGGATTCGGTCGACCATGGCCTGAGCGATTTGTATGCTGATGACAAGGGCATCGTTATGTGGCATGTCGAGGCCGATCAGATCTTTCTTTTGGAAGCCGATTATAGGATCGTCTTCTGCTGGTGGAAGGTCAGTCGAGACTTGGGAGATCATAGTGGCATGTTTGATCTTCCTCTTCTTTTCCTTACTGGTCAGTCCTGACTCCTTGGCGTCGGCTAAGATTGTGTTAATCCTTATGACTTTCTGGGGTGGTTCCTTGGCGGTGTCTCGATCTTCAATCCGCTGGATGGCCTGCTTCGCGATGAACTCCGTGCAGTGACCCTCTTTCACGAGTTCTTCAAGGTGTGCTTTCCAAGCGAGGCAGTTATTGGTAGTGTGCTCGTGTGTCCCATGGAAGGCACATTATTTGCTTGTATCCCTCTTGTCTGGATCTCCTTTCAAGGGTGGCGGTCTTCTTACCCAAGGTTTGTTTTTCACTTGGGCTAAGATTTGATGTATGGGGATGGTGAACTTGGTATAGTTCTCTCCTGCTACAGCGTCTCCTTGTGGGTGTGACCTGCGCTTATCCTTGTTCTTGTTGCTAAATCCATCGCTTCTTTGACCTGCCCGCTTAGTCGGTTGATCTTTCTGCTTAGTAGACTTTTTTGCGGCGATTCGATCGTCATCCTAGAGCGCGTAGCGTTCCGCGGTCACGTAGACCTCTGCCAGAGTCTGGCTGAGAGTGATAGTCAGCTTGCGGTACAAGTCGTGTTCAGCTGGGAGGCCTTTCTTGAAAGCAGATGACGCGATCCGGTCGTCACATCCTACAATGTTGGCCTTTTCTGCTTTGAATCTCTTGATGTAATCTCGAAGGGATTCGTCGGACTTCTTGCGCAGGTTGTACAGGTGGTCAGGGTTCTTCTTGATCGTCCGGTAAGAGGTGTACTCTTTGGTGAAGACGTAAGCCAACTCCTTGAAGCTGTTGATCGACCCAGATGGCAGGGTGTGGAACCAATCTTGGGCTGCTCCTCGCAAGGTCACTACGAATACCTTGCACATCAACGCGTCGTCGGCCTTGTGGAGGATCATGACACTTTTGAAGTGTTTTAGGTGGCTCTCGGGATCGGAGTCCCCTTTGAAGTGGATAAACGAAGGCGTGGAGAATCGCTTCGGGGGAGCAGCTTGCTCGATTTTGGCAGTGAAAGGTGTGGAGTTTGCCTGGTCGATCTCCTTGCGTAGTGCATCGTCGAGGTTCCCACCAGTCTTCAGATCTCGAAGTCGGTCATTCATAAGCTTCTCAACGTCCTCCATACACATTGCTGGTCGATCACGTTGGCGACCTTCGCGATTCGGGCGACGTTGACTGACCTCCTCCTGGGTCTGCGTGGGTCGACCTTCTCGTCTGCGCTGCCTAGGCGGCGTGTTGGTGGACTGTGCTTGCGAGAGATTCTCCGTAGCTTGTCGACGAGAGCCGTCTCTTCGTGAGTGAGCAGCAGAGCGTCCTTCCTCGTGGTCCTCATTGTGAGGATTATCCGGTTGACCACCCTGGGGACGTAGCCTCTCGTGAATGTTCGTCTGCGAGTGGACATCTGAGCGTCTTTCTTCACGATCCTCGTTGCGATGGTTGTCTAATTGTCCTCCCTAGGGGCCTAGCCTTTGAAGTACATTTCCCTGCAGTCCCAAGCGGGCGTGGACGTCAAGTCGTGGGCCTAGCCTCTCGCGCATGTTGTTCCTCGAACTTAATCTGCTCCGAGTGGGGCTCGCGGATGCTTGTGACATGTCGGTAGGCCGATCAAGTTGTTGTCCCTCGCCTTGTCTGCCTACTCCTGCTTGACCTGCTGGGTACCCGTTGAGCTGCCTGCCGGTGCGTTCGTCCATCCTTCTCTCTTCGCCTAGTTGTCCAAGGCCAAGGTTTTGAGCCAAGCTGATTTGGTGGAGGAGTTGCCTCATCAGATCGCTTTGGTCGTCCATTCTCTGAGCTAGCTGGTCAACTCTCAGACTAAGGTCTGCTTGACTTCGTGGATCAGGAGGAGAGAAGTGTGTGGAGCCCAATTGCACACGGGCTAGGGTTTCATTGGAGGTGTGCGCGGGAGCGTGTGTCGAGCGTGGAGGCAATGAAGGGATCGCTTGAAGTTGCTCCAAGACCGAGCCTAAGTCAGCGGTGGTAACAAGCCCACCTTGATGAGAGGTTCCACCATGTTCGGCGGCGGTGGCCGGTGCGGTGGTGAGAGGTGGTGGTGCCACCATGTTGATTGCGGGCCCGTGGGTGGAGTGGCTTTGGGCCGTCGCGGATTTAGCCATTGCGGCGGTTTTGCCTCTCGTATTCATGCTTCCAACCATGGTTGTTTGGAAGGCTTCGGCGGATTGGAAAATAGGAGGAACGGATTCCTTAAGCACGCGTTGAGTATAACTCGTGCTCTCAATGAAAGCACCAATTTGTTTGTACAAATTTCCCCACGAGAATATTCGATTGGAAAGATTCCCCTTTCTTCTTCGCCGCCTCCTTCTCCCTGCAAAATAGAACCAATAAGAGGACCACACCCGGGGGGTGTTGGCCAAAGGCCCTCCGATGCCTAAATTAGTTCAATTGAATCATATAGAAAACAATAGCTAATAGGGTACGGAGATGTGTTTATGGTATAAACCGGGCAGCCGTAGCCTTATGTAAAAGAGAGAGAGAAAGGAGGTGGCTAGGGTTTGAGAGGAATTTTCTGCAGAGTTTCAGTAGGGATTTCAGACGTACCTCAACCCTTGTGTGTGGCCATCCTTTTATAGTTGTCTTGGAGGCTAGGGTTTCATAGGAATAATTCCGTAGATGGAAGGGAATTATTCCTCCCCTTTTTGGAATTGATTTGATTAATTAGGGATTTGATTTATTAGGGTAAATCAAATCCCTAATTGTGGTAGGTATCAAATCAAATCCCATTTTAATTAGGTAACTCCTCATTTAATTGAGAATCGGGGTAGGAATCAAATCAATTCTCAACCTAATTAGGTAATCTTCAATTTAATTGGGTAATCCCCAATTAAATTGAGTAACTCCCAATTAGGTTGATTAATTCCCAATTAGGTCAAATAATCCCCAAATGGAAGGAATCATTTGACCTAGGGTCTGATTTAATTCGGTTCCCACACTACCGATGGGTTCTCTTCAGCTAGTTTGATTGGCGGGGGTAGTTTTGGTTCAGTGTGCAAAGGAGTTCTTGAGGGTGATGGCAGACCTCAACTTGTTGCTATGAAGGTGTTTAACCTGTTATGCCAGGGAGCTTCTAAGAGTTCCATAGCTGAATGTGAGGTGATGAGAAATATTAGGCATTGAAATCTTGTCAAGATTATAACTGCATGTTCAAGTGTTGATTTTCATGGTAATGATTTCAAGGCTCTGGTTTACGAGTTCATGGACCATGGTAGCTTAGAGGAGTGGCTGCATCCAGTCATTGGAACTGAAGAGATAAGCGATGCGCCCAAGAATTTAACTCTTCTTCAGAGGGTAGATATTGCCATTGGTGTTGCTTGTGTACTGGATTATCTTCATAATCATTGTGGAACACCCATAGTTCATTGTGATCTCAAACCAAGCAATGTTCTTTTGAACAACGAGTTGGTTGGACACGTTTCTGACTTTGGACTAGCCAGAGTTGTGCCACAAATGACTAGTAATTCTTCATCAAATCAAACAAGTTCCATTGGAATAAGAGGTTCCTTTGGTTAAGTTGCTCCAGGTAAACTTCCTTTCTTCATTTTTAGTCTTACATAACCTAAACAGAGCTTTTCAATTTCCATTTATATTGATAATTTGTGATGCTTTTATCTTAGAGTATGGTATGGGAAGTGAGGTTTCAACCTATGGGGATGTGTACAGCTTTGGCATTCTCTTGTTGGAGATGTTAGGGAAGAGACCCACTGACGAAATGTTTAGAGGCGGTCGTACTTTCGTGCAAATGTCAATCCCTGAGCGAGTTACGGAGGTTGCAGATTCAGTACTCCTTCGAGTAGGCAATGATGACGCTAGCATCAGCAACCTTCCCAATCAATACAGCTCAAGAGCTCAAAAGATCTCGGAGTGCTTCAGTTTGATATTTAGAATTGGAGTATAGTGTTCTGCTGAATCCCCAAGAGACCGAAAATATATCAGTGATGTTGTATCTGAATTGCATTCCATTAAGGAAATACTTCTTAGATAGAAACTTTTGCTAGTCTTAAGTAATGGCTTTGGCTGCTAACTATAATATATGTTCAATTTACACAAAGTGTGATGTTATATCTGAATTGCGTTCAAGTAAAGGCCTTGTGTACTTCTTTTTTGTTCCTTTTTCTGTTTCATATTTTCTTTTCCGTCTTGAAACTTATTAATTCAAGAAATGAACTCAAAATATTCTCAGTACTCTTGTGTCTGTTTAATTAAAATTATGATGATGATATGTGGGCGCCATGTAGCCATACTGCATTCCTATCAGTGACTTTTTGCTTTTTTCATTCCGTGATGGGGTTTTAAATTGTTTTCTGATTAGAGATCGCCTAAAATTAATTAGTGATATGAAAATCAGGACATATCAGGGAGATAGAAAGAAAATTACTCATATGCTGTATTTGTTGCACCAATCTCGCAGTCATACCAGTTAGGAAATCAGCTGAAGTTGACGTGCTCAAGCAACGGGAGAGACGGCACTTATTCATCGTCAAATGCTGACCCATCCCGGGGGAAATGGTACTTATTCATGGCAGTTGACATACATGTGCACATGCAAGAGATTGATGATATATATAATTCATTTCTTGTCTGTATGGACAACTCATTAGACGAGACAATTATGGCCTTTCTTCTTCCGGATCTGATCTGAGTGTTGAAATAAAAAAATTCATTGACCCCAAATTAAATGCTAGCCCAAGTTTAAAGAAGTTGGGCTCATAGCTAAATGGTTTTGTGGACTTGTTGGTAAATTGGTTTAGGCCCAAATGAATTAATATTGATATTTTTACAAGGAAATGTTAATATATATTGAAAGCAGAAACATTTTCATGTACGTGAAGTGTGGAGTTGAGGGGGTGACTGTAATGGGAAGTTACTCCCACCCACACAGTACGTGAGGCCTTAACTGATCCCACTCTGTCAGTTCCTCTGGGTCTATAAAAAGGGACCAAAGAGAGGCAGAAAAAAAAAGGAAAAGACACCGAACTGCTGCAGAAATCCAAAGAACACGGCTGCAGAAATCCAAAGAACAGAAACAAGCAAAAGAGATACGAAGCTCTGTCACAATATCATTGAGAAGGTATAAACAAATTCATTTGAGTATCCTTTTATGTACAACTGACTTACAGGTAAAGCAAAAAATGCATGTGAAGCCATTGTACGGAAGCCTGAACTTCCTCCATGTTTGATATCAAGAAATGTATCATATCAACAAAGACCTCAGCAGTGGAAAAACATGAACAAATCCTCCCAAATTGGCAATAATTGTGCCACTTACACAAAGAGAGCTCTCACAAGGACCTCTCTGTTGTGAATTACAGATGGGCTTCCGCAAGAACCCCACTGTACAAGTGCTGTGAACACCTTGTGACGGAAGCCTGAACTTCCTCCATGTTTGATATCAAGAAGTGTATCATATCAACAGAGACCTCAGCAGTGGAAAAATGTGAACAAATCCTCCCAAATTGGCAATAATTGTGCTACTTACACAAAGAGAGCTCTCACAAGGACCTCTCTGTTGTGAATTACAGATGGGCTTCCGCAAGAACCCCACTGTACAAGTGCTGTGAACACCTTGTGAGTGTCCACAGGCACATTGTGGTACTCAAAGAAGACCTTGCGAGTGTTCTTGAGTACCAAAAACAGAAAACATCAAAATCCCAACTGCTTTGTGCCCAACCCACCTTCAGCACAACGAAATTCCAAGTCTGCAAATTGGAAGACAAAAAGATGGCGAAGCGTGCTGCAAATGGAGAAATCAACAATCCTGTTTTAGTCTCACAGATTGGCATAAACAGAAGAAAACATATTAAAGGAGATGCAGAAATTACTGAGTGACAGAAAGCTTACAAAAGCTGATGATTCACACCCACGTTCTGTGCTTCAAAGTTTGCCAACAAGGAAAAAATCCCAAGTCGGACAGCCCACGAAAATTATCAAGCCAACACTCCTCTGTAGCAAAATGCAAATATCATAAAAGCTTCTCACTTTGTTGCTGGCAAAACATGAAGCAACTGAGACAAAGCAAAGCCAGCACCTCAATTGGCAGTACGGTGGCCCTCTCAAATGATACGAGTCTGCAAAGGAAAATATGCAAAGCCTTAGAAATTCCAATCAAATTGGAAAGAAAAGGATGCACAAAGCATCAGCAAGCAAAAAAAAAGCAAAAGGAAGAATGGCTCACCAAGAAGCCTCCTGTGTTGCGGCTGTTGAAGAACCCGAAGGCAACATAAGCCAAGAAAAAGGGAAGCCTTCCTGTCAAGTCAATACAGAACCAAAGATGAATATTTTTTATCCGAAGGACTCTAAACACATAATGGGTAAAGACAAAACCCATTTTGGTGGAAGTCTGCCACAAGTACATAGGAAACAACAAAAAGCCAAAAAAAGGGTCAAGCATGGATTCGTGGCTGAACTTTGAGATTAAAACATGGGAGAAGCTTCAGCCATGAAGTTGGTACTGCCAAACTCAACAAAATATACAAATAGCTCTTTGGCTTGTGCGTGTTGTGTTAGGCAAAGAAACCCAATTCGTGTTGCACATAAGGAAAAGAAAGAAGAAATGGCTTACAGGACCTACTCTAAAATAAAGGGGAGTTGAGGTTATGTTATTGTGTCAGAACAAAAAAAAGAGTTGGGAAGGGCATGGAGAGACCAGCAAAAGCAAGGAAGATGAAAAGAAACAAAAAAGACAAGGGAGAAGAAAAGCACAAAAAACAAAGGAAAGGAAAAAGTAGCAAAACAAAGTTCTGTACAACAAACGTGGCTTCTCAAAATTCCAAGACTTTCAATTAGTAGTTTAATAGGCTATAATGGTCTACTTTGACAGACATGACTAAAGGAAAGGATTTACCTTGGTTTTGGCGTTTCAAACCCAAAGCTCCGTAGTGATGGTGGCAGATGAGTAGCTGAAGAGAGATATATATAATTTGGTCCAGTTTGAATTGATTTGAACTATTCCAGATAAAGATGGGAGTAACTCAGTTTGGATTAATCTCTACTACTCCGAATAGATATCGGTTTCAAAATTCAACTGATTCTCAAAGCTTTTCTGACATGGATTATTTGTTTATGGGCCAACTGAAGGAAATATCAAGGCCCGGAAACAAATTGATGGGTTGACAAAACAAATTACCCATTAACTTTCAAGAGCCCAAAATATTTTATGGGTGGTCCAAATAAATTATATGGTTAATGGATTAATGTTTAAATCCTTAAAACCATATGTGAGTAAATTAATAGGCTCATTAAAATGCCTTTTAATTTTCTTTGGACATTAACAATAAAAAGATGGTACAAAACCATTTCAAATTTTCTCATGGGTCATTTACCCTGCAAATTTCAATGAGATCAAATTTAAATTTCTCAAACACACAAATTCTTTCAAAGGGTCATTCATTCTTTGAAGGTCCAATCCAGTTGGAACTACGTCGGTTTGATCCCAACAAGGGTACGTAGGCAGTCTAATATCCCAATGGACGCAACCGCAACTAAATTTGAATCCCTGGTTTTATCCTAACCAAATTCGTCCACACACAAATCCATTTGGAACTACGTCGGTTTGATCCCATTAAGGGTACGTAGGCAGTCTAGCATCCCAATAGACGCAACCGCAACCAAATTCTCACTAATCAAATCTCCACACAAATCCACTTGGAACTACGTCGGTTTGATCCCATCAAGGGTACGTAGGCAGTCTAATATCCCAATAGACGCAACCGCAACCAAATTTGAATAACTGGTTACCGCAACCAAATTCTCATCAACCAAATCCCCACAAATTAAACAAATCAAGTCCGAACTACGTTGGTTTGATCCCTTTGAAAGGGTACGTAGGCAATCTAGAGATTCAATCTAGATGCAACCATCCCAAACACAACTCCATATCGAATCCCTGGCTTATTCAGTTAAATTCACTCAAACACCCCTCAATCAAATTCAGTCAAATTCCCATTTTTTTGCAATGAGTTATCTATTCATTGCGAATCTTTGAACTACGAGTGGCTTGATTCCTGTAAAGGATACGTAGGCACCTTGAGGTTGAACTTGGGAGCAGCCGCAAAACCAAACACATACATTCTGTTTCTTTATGATGGAATCAAAGGGTTTTCCCTTGTAGCAAGGGATTGTAATTAAGAGACTTGCGTCTCGAATGGGTCGAACCTAAAATAATAAAACCCCATTAATTAATTAGTGGTGGTGAAATTATGTTTGGAGGTTTACAGTTTTATATCTAACATAATTTTTGGCACGCCCGGTGGGACCCATTTACCTTTTCATCTCCAATCATAAAGTAACTAATGTTTTTATTTGTGCCACAGGTTAGCAAAACCAGATACGATGGCACCACAAGTAACAATTTTCTTCCACAAGATTGAAACTACCAAGAATGTGTGCACCAAACGAGTGGGGTTCAAGAAGACTTTCATTGTTGGTGAGAGCCTCTTCAACTGCATTGTTCCAAAGCCCATTCAGAGGGCCAAACCTCAAGTCACTCCTAAGGTAGTCAAAACCCAACTGAAGAAAACACTGTCTAAAAATGCTTTCCGAAACGCAAGAAAGAGGGCCGCACGTGCTTTAAGGAAGAAAGAAGCAAAGAGTCAGTCTATTGAGGCAATCTTGTCCGAGCTCTCTGGGACAAGTTCAATGGTGACAGCAAGCGAGAAGACCGCAAGCACCCTGGCTGTGCCGACTCCGAAGAGGACAAGTGCTACCCGATTTGTCCAAATCATGATTGGATCAATTCCGGTCAACTTATATCCTACAGATTCAGCCTTGATGACTTCCATCAACGAAACTAGCGACGAAAGTCAAAAGGATGACTCTCAAGAAAACATTGAGGTCCAAGGGGCCGAACCTTCATCAAGCCCTAGAGCTCATGTTGCGGAATCCACATTACAAGAGGTTTACCCCTGTTCTCATAAGGGTAAAAGCAAAGCCACCGTCATGAAAAAGAAGGTGGTGAACATACCTCATCCACAAAGGAAGAGGGTGAAGACAGCCGTTGCTTCAAAGGGTCAAATTCTCATACCACAAGGGACAGTCCCGAAACCTCAAGATCAATCGAGGCCCTATGTGGGTCCATTGACTCGTTCTAAATCTCGAGACATGATGGGGATGATTGTTCCTGAGTCATCCAGTCTAAACTCAGCTCGCTTGGATGATTATTTACAATGGAATCCTCTCTATGATGATCCCGTATCTCAGACTCAAGAGAATGATTGTATAGCATCCCAAGGGACCAAACTTCATGAGGGATTGGAAAGCATGCAAGTCATGATGACTGGTTCTTCCAATACTGAGGACCAGTTACCTTTAATCCAAGAAATGATGCAAGACTTGCGAAGGGAAATGCAGCATAAGTTGGCAGAGAAAGACGCAGAAATAGCATTACTATCCGCCCGACTGAAAGGAAAAGATGTCATAGATGAGCAAGACAGGGGCAAAACAAATGAATCGGTGACCCCTGAACAACAAACAAAAGAGGAAAAAGCAGAGAGCTCCACGAGCACAATTTCCCCAAATGACATAAAGGCGTTAATTGCTGAGGGGATTCGTGAGTTCCAATTGTCCATAGCACCTCCTGTTCAAGGGTATCGAAAACCATTCCCTTCTCACTATGACGCCATACCATTCCCGAAGGGTTATCAACGGCCTATATTTGATAAATTTGATGGCATAAGTAGCTCACCCCATGAACATCTTGCACATTTTTATTCAGCATGTGGCGAGACATCTCAATCAGACGCTCTCCTGGTGCGTCAATTTGTCCAATCCCTAAAAGGATCAGCCTTCACTTGGTATACACAACTACCGCCAGGCTCCATCTTGACATGGGACGACATGCAAAAAGCATTTTTGGCACAATTCGTCAGTTCAAAGAAGAAGGTCTCGATCATGGACCTAGCTCAAACTACCCAAAAGCCAGGGGAAAATGCTAATGACTTCATAATGAGATGGAGGAGCCTCAATCTTCAGTGCCCGGAGAAAATTACCGAGCAATCAGCAGTACAAATGTGCTACAACAACCTCATACCAGACATTGCAACTTTTGTTGCCACTGCTGAACCCCAGTCATTTGATGCTTTGGTGTCAAAGGCGAGCAATGTTGAAAGACAAATCGCTCGCCAAAAGTCCGCGTCTCAAAAAAAATCAATTTGGGGAGAAGAAGAATGACAAGAAGTCTGCAAAGGGAGAGTCATTGGCCACTTTTGTCAAAACAGAAAAGAAGAATGACAAAGGCCAAAACAAAGACCCACCCAAAAGGCTCACTCTTAAAGAGCGCAAAGAGGTTAAATATTCTTTTGATGATGATGATGTAGAAGAAATTTTTGACCAACTTCTGGCCTCCAAAGGTATTACCTTGCCAGAATCAAAACGTCCTGCTGAGGCGAACAAGACAAATGACCCTAAGTACTGTCGGTATCATCGCCTCATCAGTCATACGCTCAAAGATTGTTATATCCTAAAGGACAAAATTCAAGAGCTCCTCAACAATGGCAGTTTAGTGATAGACTCTTCTTCCCAACATCATTCAGCTACGGCAAATATGATAGAAGAAAAGCTCACACTCACCACTGCATTATTAGGTGAAACGAAATTTGCAGGTATTAGTACCGACAATGGGGGCACAATTGTACATGACTGTCCAAAAGCACCATGGTCTAGTCATCTTCAAATTCCCACTCTTCATGAGCTCATGGTTGCACCCAGTCTAGAGATATGGGAAGATTCTTCGGTCAATGAATCTGCTGAGGGTGCTGAGGGGTGGAAGACATTTGTTAAAAGAGTCAAGCACTTGGCCAAACATTTCCCACCTAATCACAAATCTGTCACTCATCCTGGTGTCAAGATCCGAGGCATGCCAACCTTGAAAAATAAGAGGAAGAAGAAGAGGGCGCAAAAGAAAGTTCAAATCCCTCAAGAGGATGAATATGAGCAACCCGTAAGAGTCCCTGTCACACTCACTGAGTTTTTGCCAGTTGAATTCTTCTCGAGTGAATCTGAAATTGAGGAAGAAATTATCCAATGCAACATGGTTTCTGTGGAGGAATATGAGGTTGACACAGAGGTTGATGAAATTAACCTCCGCTCTGGCCGAAGCATCCCATCTGCTGATAAAGCACAACAAAAGGAGGAAGCCGACCCCTCTAAGAACTCGAAGGCGAAAGAGATTAAGGTCTCCTTGTCAGAAAAAACTGTTGCAGGGGGAGCTCCATCATCCTCTTCAAAAGCAAAGGACCCTAAGCCTGATATCGGTAAAACAAAGGAGTCATCGCAATCACATGCACTTAAGTATGATATTTTGGCCCATCTTAAGCGCATCCCTGCTCCTTTAAGTGTCTATGACGCTTTACAAATGTCAAGAGAGCTTAGGGAAGCACTCGTAATGGCTTTGACGAGCCCGGATTTGTACAAGTCATGTTTCAAATCAGCAGATGTCCACACAATTGAAACCTCGAAGTTTTGTGCATCGTGTATGGCAGCAATTACCTTTGGCGAAGATGACTTTCTGCTTGAATCCAAATGCCATAATCGACCTCTTTATGTCACTGGCGAAGTTGGAGGCACGACCATCAATCGAATCTTATTAGATTGTGGTTCAGCAGTGAATCTTATCCCTTTAAAGACACTACATGCTATAGGGATGAGTACCCGACAATTGTCTCCATCTATGCTGACTATTCAAGGTTTCAATCAACTTGGGCAAAAAGCCATGGGTTCTATCGCACTGCAAATGGAAATAGGGGACCTATATTCAGATGCTCTATTCCATGTGATCGATGCTGACACTTCATACAATGTCCTTCTAGGACGTCCATGGCTCCATACATATGGCGTAGTCCCTTCTACACTTCACCAGTGCTTCAAATACTTGGAGAATGGGGAAGTCAAGAGCGTTTCAGCTGATATGGACCCGTTCAGAGGCGAAGAGGTAAATTACTCTGATGCAAAGTTTTATGGTCCACCTGGTCTCTCATTCACACAGCCACCAAAGGTGGATAGGGAGAAAGAAGCAAATGTCGAGGCAGGAAAGTCACAAAAGGTAGAAACAACCAAATCTACAAGGGTAATTCGAGTGAAGCTGACACCTCGAGGTGTGACAATCCCAAAAGTCGAAGAAGTCCCGACCGCAAAGGCTCCCAAGCCAAAGATAGTTTTCAAGACTTCAAAAAAGGAGCCTAGTGAAAAAGACACGAGCTCATTGAAACAAACAATGGAGTCATTGATGACGGCAAGTTACATTCATCCTCTTCGGAAGATCAATCAGTCTATCCCAGGGGGCAGTTTGGTCATTTCGACTACTTTTGGCAAAAATGATGGCCAGAGTAAACGTGTAGCTTTTCATAAAAAGGCATCCTTGTCAGAAACAACATCTGCTCCATTAAAGATAAAGCTTACAGGCCGTAAAGCAAAGAAAAGCAATGATGGCCTCACAGTCCAAAATGAGAGTGGTGTGCTCAAAGTGTCTCTTCGAAGGCTACATCCAAAAGCTTCTGATCCCGAGATACTTACTAATATGGAACAAGCCATGTTTAGAGAAGATGAGGTGAATATAAAGCCACTTCGCATCTCTGTGTTCAAACGACTAGGGGGTAGACAGCCACCTCGCGTCTCGGTCTTTCAACGCTTGGAGAACCCTTCCAGTTCCCAACAAGTTAAAGTCCATAATAAAAGGAAATGGAAAGTTAAAAGTCAAGAAAAAGCTGTGACCGAAACAGTCAAAAGAGTGAAAATAAAGGATGATCTCGTCCAAGTCAATTGCGCCTCTTTCGAAGAAATGGTGGACCAAGATGATAATCCTCAAGACATCGAGGAATTCATTGATATAGTCCAACCAGCTCCACCACAAATGGAGGAGGGAGGTCAACCCACAATTGATGATCTGCAAGAAATTAATCTTGGTACAGTTGACAATCCGAAACCTATCTTTGTCAGTACTTCGTTAACGCTGCAAGAATTAGAAGAATACACACAACTGTTGCAAGAGTACCGAGACGTATTTGCATGGAGTTATCAAGACATGCCAGGGTTAGACCCAAACGTTGCAGTTCACAAACTTGGAATATCTGATGAGGCCCGATGGGTGAAGCAAGCGCCACGTCGTTTTCGGCCAGAGCTAACAATCCAAATAGAAATCGAGATTGATAAGCTTATTGCCGCTGGATTTATCCGAGAAGTCCAATATCCCACTTGGTTGTCCAATATTGTTCCAGTCCTTAAGAAAAAAACTGGGGCGCTGCGTATATGTGTGGACTATAGAGACGTCAATGATGCATGCCCAAAAGATGAGTTTCCGCTCCCAATCACAGAATTATTGGTAGATGCAACAACCGGTTTTGGTGCCCTATCATTCATGGATGGATTCTCAGGTTACAATCAAATAAAAATGGCTCCAGAAGATCAAGAGAAAACTGCCTTCCGCACTCCAAAAGGAATATTTTGCTACACTGTGATGCCTTTTGGATTGAAAAATGCAGGGGCAACCTACCAAAGAGCCATGACAGCCATTTTCAATGACATGCTTCACAATACCATTGAGTGTTATGTTGATGATTTGGTTGTCAAAACCAGAAAAAGAGAACACCATTTGAGTGACTTAAAACGAGTTTTTGATAGACTCCGAAAGCACCAATTGAGAATGAACCCCTTGAAGTGTGCATTTGGAGTAACTTCAAGCAAATTCCTTGGCTTTGTTGTCCGACATCGAGGAATTGAAATTGACCCTTCAAAAATCAAAGCAATCCTTGAAATGCCTCCCCCTCGAAATTTAAGGGAGTTGCGAGGGCTACAAGGGAGACTAGCCTATATACGACGGTTCATCTCAAATCTCTCTGGAAGGTGTCAACCATTCTCAAGGCTCATGAAGAAGGACGTTCCATTTATATGGGATCAAGCATGTCAAAATGCCTTGAAAAGCATTAAAAAATACCTGTTAAATCCACCAGTTCTTATGGCGCCAATTAAAGGGAAGCCTTTAATTTTGTATATTGCAGCGCTAGAACGCTCGTTGGGAGCATTGCTTGCCCAACACAATGATGATGGAAAAGAAAATGCACTTTACTACTTGAGTAGAACACTCGTAGGGGCGGAACAAAATTATACCCCTATCGAGAAGGTATGCCTCGCATTGGTGTTTGCCGTCCAAAAACTACGACACTATATTCTCTCTCATAAAGTCATATTGATTTCCAAGGCAGACCCGCTCCGATATTTAATGTCCAAACCTGTGCTCTCTGGACGAATAGCCAAGTGGTCACTTCTCCTCTTTGAGTTTGAGATAAAATTTGTTCCACAAAAGGCGACAAAAGGGCAAGCTCTTGCTGATTTCTTGGCTGCTCATCCTACTCCCGACAACATGGAGTTACTTGCTGATTTGCCCGATGAAGAGGTATTCACAACAGAAGCACTTACATGGCAGTTATATTTTGATGGGGCAGCAAGAAGAAACGGAGCTGGGGTAGGATTAGTATTCATCACGCCATCTGGGGGCTTAATCCCATATTCATTCTCCTTACTAGCTTTATGTTCAAATAATGTGGCAGAATACGAGGCATTAATCATTGGCCTTGAAATTGCCCTCGAGATGCATATTGATTATTTGCAAGCATATGGTGATTCACAGTTAGTCGTCAGACAGTTGAATGGTCAATACGCAGTCAGAAATGCTACTCTCGTCCCATACCATGATAGGGCAAAGTATCTCATGTCACAGTTTCAGGACATTCATGTTAGTCACATCCCGAGGTCGGAAAATGATAAAGCTGATGCACTAGCTAATTTGGCTGCATCGTTAACGCTACCTGAAGAAAGGGATATCCAAATCACTGTTGGGGAACGATATTTATTACCCCCAGCTATAGAGAGAATTGAAGAAGTTGTTGATTCAAATGTTGTTACAACTTCCGAATTTGAGGAGGAATTGGATAATCTTGATTGGCGCCATCCCATAATTGAATATCTTCAACACGGCAAATTGCCAAATGACTCAAGGAAAAAGGTTGAAGTTCGACGCAGGGCCACTCGGTTTTTGTATTTAAATGACACCTTGTACAAACGGTCATTTGATGGTATGTTGTTAAGGTGTCTGTCGAAACAAGACGCAACTAAAGCCCTTCATGATACTCATGCTGGCACTTGCGGTGCTCATCAAGCTGGTCCAAAACTCTCAAATCAACTGAAGAGATTGGGTTATTACTGGCCAACAATGGTCCGAGACTCAATGAAATTTGCAACCACATGTAAAGATTGCCAGTTACATGGAGACTTTATTCACCAGCCACCCCAACAACTGCATCCGACAACTTTGTCTTGGCCATTTGAAGCTTGGGGATTAGATGTTATTGGCATGATAAAGCCTAAGTCATCACGTCAACATCAATATATCTTGGCCGCGACTGATTACTTCTCTATCATGCCAATTTAGAGAAGTAATCAGTCGCGGCCAAGATATATTGATGTTGACGTGATTACCCTTGTAGACGCAACCGCAACTGATTACCCTTGTAGACGCAACCGCAACCAAATTCTCACTAATCAAATCTCCACACAAATCCACTTGGAACTACGTCGGTTTGATCCCATCAAGGGTACGTAGGCAGTCTAATATCCCAATAGACGCAACCGCAACCAAATTTGAATAACTGGTTACCGCAACCAAATTCTCATCAACCAAATCCCCACAAATTAAACAAATCAAGTCCGAACTACGTTGGTTTGATCCCTTTGAAAGGGTACGTAGGCAATCTAGAGATTCAATCTAGATGCAACCATCCCAAACACAACTCCATATCGAATCCCTGGCTTATTCAGTTAAATTCACTCAAACACCCCTCAATCAAATTCAGTCAAATTCCCATTTTTTTGCAATGAGTTATCTATTCATTGCGAATCTTTGAACTACGAGTGGCTTGATTCCTGTAAAGGATACGTAGGCACCTTGAGGTTGAACTTGGGAGCAGCCGCAAAACCAAACACATACATTCTGTTTCTTTATGATGGAATCAAAGGGTTTTCCCTTGTAGCAAGGGATTGTAATTAAGAGACTTGCGTCTCGAATGGGTCGAACCTAAAATAATAAAACCCCATTAATTAATTAGTGGTGGTGAAATTATGTTTGGAGGTTTACAGTTTTATATCTAACACTGAGTCTGACTGTTCATCGGTTGACGTGCGAGGTAATGAAAAAAATAAACAAATCATATTATCATAATTCCGTAATTGTTAATTATTATATATATTTCTTAAATAATAAAAAAGTCAACTATTGTGAGCTATTAACTAGGTACCTTGCTTTTTTTTTGTTGGTCAACTCTAATCTCGTTTAAACTGAGAATTAAAAACAGTATAATAATTTCTGCAATAATATAAAAGTTTTGATTTCATATGTTAATGTCATCAAAGTTTTCAAAAGTTCCAATTATGTACATAAATTAATTAGCTTGGAGAGCTTACAAATTTCACAACACAACGCAACCCATCTCACTATATCTCTCACTTTCAGTCTTTCAAGTTATACCCAACCCAATTCAAAATGGGGATTTTGTTTATGAAATTAATCTTCACATACTTATCAGTTTTTAATGCAATAATATTTGTTTGCTGTGGGATCTCCAACGAGACGGATAGGCTTGCATTGCTAGCCATCAAAGCTCAAATAAAGGAGGATCCTTATGGGGTCATGAGCTCTTGGAACGAATCCATGCACTTTTGCATGTGGCAGGGCGTGACTTGCAGTCAAAGGCATCATCAAAGGGTCACAAGCCTGATGCTACGAGGCCAAAACTTGGTGGGCTCTCTATCCCCAAACATAGGAAATCTGAGTTTCCTCAGGAGTCTGCAGCTACAGAACAACAGCTTTAGCCACGAAATTCCTCCCGAAATCGGGCATTTGCGTAGGCTGCAGGTATTAAGTCTTGAGTACAACTTATTTACTGGCCTTATTCCTTACAACATATCATATTGCTCCAACCTCACCTACATGAGTTTCGGCCACAACAAGCTGGTGGGCGAAATTCCTCCAGAAATCGGCTCCTTGTCGAAGCTTCAAACGTTTGTTTTACAATCGAATAATTTGACAGGAGAGATTCCTCCTTCCTTGGGGAACCTTTCCTCGCTCCAGGTACTTGCCGCATATGGTAATAACTTGATGGGAAGCATCCCTAGTTCTCTTGGCCAATTGAAAAAATTAGCATTTTTGTCAATTGGCATAAATAACTTGTCTGGCACAATCCCTCCCTCCATCTATAACCTCTCTGCTCTCCAAGCTTTTCACATATTATACAACCAAATTCATGGGACTTTGCCCTCAGACTTGGGCCAAACTCTGCCTAACCTCCAAGTCATTAACATTGCCCATAATCAGTTTACGGGATCCATCCCTCTCTCAATATCCAATGCCACAAGTTTCAAGACTTTTCACCTTGGCTACAACAAACTAACAGGACAAGTCCCAAATTTGCAGAAGCTTCGTGACCTCGAATATTTCAACATTCAATCTAATCATCTTGGAACCGGTAAAGATGACGATTTGAGTTTTCTCTCAAACTTGACCAATGCCACAGAGCTAATATGGTTGCTCATACCCGAGAACAATTTTGCAGGGGCGTTGCCCGCATCAATATCCAATCTCTCAACCAAGCTTGATAGGTTTTGGCTTTATAGAAACCAAATAGGTGGATGCATCCCAGTGGGCATGGGGAATCTGATCAACTTGGAATCGTTGGCTATGTCGAGTAATCGCTTCACAGGTGGCATACCTACGGACATTGGGAAGCTTTCAAAGCTTGTGGAATTAGATATTTCTACGAATGAATTATCAGGGAGCATTTTGCCCTCTCTAGGAAATTTAACCAGTTTAAGCAGACTCTTCTTGCAAATAAATAATCTTCAGGGCATCATCCCTTCAAGCCTAGGGGAGTTCCAGCGGCTGCAAACATTGGATCTTTCTTATAATAACCTTAGTGGTGCAATACCTCCACAAGTTCTTGGCTTATCTTCCTTATCAATTTACTTGAACCTGTCTGCAAACCGCTTTACAGGTTCCCTTCCCACGGAGGTTGGAAAGTTGAAGAGTCTAGGTGAACTGGACATTTCCGATAACATGTTAACCGGAGAGCTGCCCAGTAGCCTTGATGGTTGTGAAAGTTTAGAAGTCCTGCACTTGCAAGGCAACTTCTTCCAAGGGCCCATTCCTTCGTCTTTGAAAGCGTTGAGAGCGATTCGAGATTTAGACATTTCTCGCAACAATTTTTCAGGTGAAATTCCACAGTTTTTTGAGGGATTTCTTTTCTTGAGGAATCTAAACATTTCATTCAACGACTTTCTGGGAGTTGTACCAATTGACGGTGTGTTCAAAAATGCAACTTGGATTTCAATTGTTGGCAACATTAGGCTCTGTGGCGGTGTTGCTGATCTCCAACTGCCCAAGTGCAAGACTCAGAAAGGAGGATCATCTCGTAGCTTGAAATTAATCGTCTGTTTAGTATTGGGACTTGCTCTTCTAGGAATATCCATGGTGTGTTCCTATTTCTTTCTTTTTTCGTCAAGAAAGAAAAGGAAAGAAGTTTCGCGGACTACTTTGGAGAACTCTGTTTTGCAAGTGTCATATTCTACTCTCCTAAAAGCTACTGATGGGTTCTCTTCAGCTAATTTGATTGGTGTGGGAAGTTTTGGGTCTATATACAAAGGAGTTCTTGATGATGATGACGGTAAAACTGATCATCAGCTTGTTGCCGTGAAAGTGTTCAATCTGTTGCGCCCTGGAGCATCGAAGAGCTTCATAGCAGAATGTGAGGCCTTGAGAAATATTAGACATCGAAATCTCGTGAAGATTATAACTGCCTGTTCAAGTGTTGATTTTCATGGCAATGATTTCAAGGCTTTAGTTTATGAGGTCATGGAGAATGGGAGCCTTGAAGAGTGGTTACATCCACCTGGTGACATTGAAGAGTCAAGGGATCATGCACCCAATAATTTAAATATTCTTCAAAGGCTAGACATTGCCATTCATGTTGCTTCTGCACTAGATTATCTTCATAATGATTGCGAAACACCGATAGTTCATTGTGATCTCAAACCGAGCAATGTTCTTTTGGACAATGATTTGACTGGACATGTTTCCGACTTTGGACTAGCAAGATTTCTCCCACAACTATCCGAAACTGACGCTTCAGCCAATCAAACAAGTTCCATTGGAGTAAGAGGAACGGTTGGTTATGTCCCTCCAGGTAAATATCCCCATTGTTTATTCTTTTTCACTCTTGCTTAATTCAAAATAGCTATTTTAGGCTAACGGGGTCTAGCCCAATGAAAAAGGGTTTAGTGTGTGTGAGAAAACCCCCTCCTCTATCCTAACTTCAGATATTTTATACTTTGTGATGTTTGAATTGTAGAGTATGGTATGGGAAGTGAGGTGTCAATCTCTGGGGATGTATACAGCTTTGGGATTCTCTTGTTAGAGATGTTTACAGGGAAGAGACCCACTGACGACATGTTTAGTGCCAACTTGAACCTTCATACTTATGTGAAGATGGCTTTCCCTGACCGAATTAGAAAGATTGCAGACTCACAAGTTTTACAAGAAGGCGTCGATGAGACACTCAAAGAGGAGTGCTTGAGTTCGATTTTTAGAATTGGAATTGCATGTTCTGCTGAATCCCCAACAAATCGCTTGAAGAATATAAACGATGTTGTGTCTGAGCTGCAGTCCATTAGAAAATCCCAAAGGTGAATAACTGTTTTAATGGAGTGAAAGAGAAAAGCTGCCTCGTGAATATGAGCCATCGGATTCAGATGATATAGACTTGTTGATTTATAACCAACGGTTGAGAATGCCAGTTGCCAAGTGGGAAATGCATAACAATAAACTTGTGGCAAATGCATAAAATATAGGGAAGGAAAAAGATACATCGACAAAAGTGTGTGTTATTTACATTTTAGTAAACTATTGTTTGCGAGTTTTGAGATTAATTTGCTAGAAGTTTAGTTTAAATACCAACATTTTACTTTATGTACAACCAAACAATTCCTAGCTCCTCCCTCCTTTGCAGGCATCGTTTCCGGTCAGCCTCCAGCCGCCACTGTCGACTACTGGCGACAATTTCCAGTCGGTACCCTGCCTGGTAGTCAGTGACACACGTAAATAAGCAATTGGCTGATAGTCAGTGATCAAAATCAACATCAGCCTGGTCCAAGCAAGAGGGCCACGTCGGTCCTTGCTTAAATTAAAGCATAGCACCAAACCAAGTCTGGATGCCATTTATTACAAATTTAAGATTTGAGCTACCACGCATATTATTGGCGTCCGTAGGCCTGCCATAGTTCAATTTTGTTTCTTTTAGCCTTTTACTCGTGTCTCACCAAACAAAGAAATAATTAAGCTCCCAAATAAATTTACCCAACTCAGCACCTATAGGGCTTGTTTGGTAGGGATGACTAGACTAGACCTACATTTTATGTGCATTGAAGGCATGATATGAATATGTTACCTAACTTAGAGGAAGAATGGAGACTATCTATAAGAGGTTGATGACTAAAACTTATCCCCTAATCCCCTTGAAATTGGTGGGATTATGAGGGATAAGTTTTAGTCATCAACCTCTTATGAATTGTCCTCCAAATTAGACAACAATATCCATATTATGCCTTGATTGCAAATGAAATATATGCATTTTATTAGTCTAGTATAGTCCAGTCTTGTAACATCCCACATCGACTAACGGAGAGGGGGTGATGTGCCTTATATATACATGCCCGCCTCCATCTAGCACAAGGCTTTTTGGGAGCTCACTGACTTCGGAGTCATGGGAACTTTGAAGTTAAGCTAGTTGGGGCTAGAGCAATCCCAGAATAGATGACCCACTGAGAAGTTGCTCGCGAATTCCCAGAAACAAAATTGTGAGGGCAGAGATGGGGGCCCAAAGAGGACAATATCATGTTACGGGGTCTTGAAGCTCTTTACCTTTTTTTTTGGCCAAGAATTATGTCTTGAAGCTTAAGCTTGCCGACTTTGTCAAAGTTGGTGGACATCTCTTGAGTTCTCTACACTTCTCTAGATTTTTCAAGACACAAATGAGGATTAATTTTTAACACAATTTGCAACTTCACATTGAAAACAACATTAGTCGCCATTTCGGAAGCAAGCCAAGTCGTCTTTGGAAAAGACAGTACTTGAACATGTGTGATGCAGGATGTTCTACGTCCGTGTTATAAATTAGTTTGTCATGCTTCAAATGGAAATTACCAATTTCACAACCAAATACCCATCTCCTCTCTTTACACCAAAAACTAAAAATAAAATATGGGGGTTTTGGTTGTGAGATTCATCTTATTATATTCACTTTGCAATGCAGTTTTGCTCGTTTGCTGTGTTTCCTCCATGAATTTGAGAAGGGAAGGGAACGAGACGGATAAGCTGGCACTGCTAGCCATCAAAGCTCAAATAAAGCAAGATCCTCATAATGTAACGAGCTCCTGGAATGAATCCATTCACTTTTGCTTCTGGTACGGTGTCACCTGCAGTCGACGACACCATCAAAGGGTCACAATGCTAGACCTACAATCTCAAAATCTTGCAGGGTTCTTATCACCAAACATAGGAAATTTGAGTTTCTTAAGGGAACTAAAGCTACAAAACAACACCTTTAGCCATGAAATCCCTCCACAAATTGGGCATTTGCATAGATTACAGGTATTACGTCTAGACAATAACTCATTTACTGGGTCTATTCCAAACAACATATCATATTGCTATAACCTTATCTTTGTGCATTTGGCTAACAACATGCTCGTGGGAAAAATTCCTCCACAAATTGGCTCCTTACCAAAGCTTCAAATACTTGTTGTACAAATTAACAATTTAACAGGGGAGATCCCTCCTTCCTTGGGGAACCTTTCATCTCTCGAGGTACTTTCTACAGTTTCCAATAACTTGGTGGGAAACATCCCTAGTTCTCTTTGCCGTTTGAAAAAACTAACATTCTTGGCAATGGGCATTAATAAGTTATCAGGTACCTTCCCTTCCTCCATCTTTAACCTCTCTGCCCTTCTTACTCTGTCCATAATACAAAACCGAATTCAGGGGACTATTCCCCCAGACTTAGGTAAAACTCTTCCTAACCTCCAAGTCTTCAACATTGGCAATAATCAATTTACCGGAACCATTCCCAGCTCCATATCCAATGCCACAAGTTTATTGAAATTTCAATTTCAAAATAACAAACTAACTGGGCAGGTGCCGGATTGTCGAAAGCTTCATGACCTTCAGTATTTCAACATTCAACTTAATCATCTTGGAAGCAGTAAAGATGGAGACTTGACTTTTCTCTCAGGCTTAACCAATGCTACAGAGTTAAGAAGGTTGATTATAGCCGATAACAATTTTGGAGGGACGTTGCCCACATCAATATCCAATCTCTCAACCACGCTTCAAAATTTTTGGTTTCAAGGGAACCAACTAGATGGAAGCATCCCGGGTGAGATAGTGAATCTGGTTGGCTTGGGATCGTTGAAGATGGGGTATAATCACTTCACAGGTAACATCCCCACTAACATTGGGAAGCTTTCAATGCTTGTAGAATTAGATATTTCCATGAATGAATTATCAGGAAGCATTCCGTCCACTCTTGGAAATTTAACCAAGTTAAGCGAACTCTTCTTGGAATATAATAATCTTCAGGGCAACATCCCTTCAAGCCTAGGGGAATGCCAGTCAATGCAAGCATTGGATCTCTCTAATAATAACCTTAGTGGCGTAATACCTCAACAAGTTATTGGCCTGACATCCTTAGCAATGCTTTTGAACTTGTCTTCTAACCACTTTACTGGTTCTCTTCCTACGGAGGTTGGAATGTTGAAGAATCTAGGTGAACTGGACGTTTCTGATAACATGTTATCCGGAGAACTTCCTAGTAGCCTTGGTAGTTGTGTCCGTTTAGAGGTCCTGCACTTGCAAGGCAACTTCTTCAATGGGACCATTCCTTTATCAATGAATTCTTTGAGGGGGATTCAAGACTTAGACCTTTCTCGCAACAATTTTTCAGGTGAAATTCCAAAGTTTTTGGAAGGTTTTGTCTTGGTGACGAGTCTCAACCTGTCTTTCAATGAGTTTTGGGGAGCAGTTCCAACTGGAGGTGTTTTCAAAAATGCTAGTGTGATTTCAATTGTTGGCAACACCAGGCTCTGCGGCGGTATAGCTGATCTGCAATTGCTCAAGTGCAACTCCAGAAAGTCTCATAGAGGTCAGAGATTGAAATTGATAATCACTCCAGTATCGGGACTTGCTTTTTTTGGAATAGCTATTTTCCTGTCCTTTTTATTTCTTGGTTCGTCAAGAAAGAAAAAGAAACAAGTTTCATTGAACACTTTTGCAAACTCTGTTTTGCAAGTGTCATATGCTAGTCTCTTAAAGGCTACCGATGGGTTCTCTTCAACTAATTTGATTGGTGTGGGTAGCTTTGGGTCAGTGTACAAAGGAGTTTTTGAAGTTGATGATGATGACAGAGCTCAACTTGTTGCCGTGAAAGTTTTCAACATGTTACGCCATGGTGCATCGAAGAGTTTTATAGCTGAATGTGAGGCGTTGAGAAATATCAAGCATCGAAATCTTGTCAAGATTATGACTGCTTGCTCAAGTGTTGATTTTCATGGTAATGATTTCAAGGCTTTGGTTTATGAGTTCATGGACAATGGGAGCTTGGATGAGTGGCTACATCCAACTACTGGAAAGGAAGAGGATCATGTGCCCACGAGTTTAAATCTTCTTCAGAGGTTAGACATTGCCATTGATGTTTCATGTGCACTGGATTATCTTCATAACAATTGCGAAACACCGATAGTTCATTGCGATCTCAAGCCAAGCAACGTTCTATTGAACAAGGAGTTTACTGCACATGTTTCTGACTTCGGACTAGCAAAATTTCTGTCACAACTAACAAGTAATGTGCCAGCAAATGAGACAAGTTCTATTGGAATAAGAGGAACAGTTGGTTATGCTGCTCCAGGTAACTACTATCTCCATCCTGGCGACATGCTTCACTATTATATATAATATCTATTTTATTCATAATCGTGGTGACGATATTTTGTGATGTTTGGATTGCAGAGTATGGTATGGGAAGTGAGGTGTCAACAAGTGGAGATGTATACAGCTTTGGCATTCTCTTGTTAGAAATGTTTACAGGGAAGCGACCCACTGACGACATGTTTAGTGGGGACTTGAACCTTCATAATTTTGTCACAATGGCTCTCCCCGACCGAATTACAGAGATTTCAGATTCATCACTTCTTCAGGGAAGCATTGACGACAAGAGTCTTAATCAATTGAACGCCAAATCTCAGAAAGTTGAGGTGTGCTTGAATTCGATATTTAGAATTGGAATTGCGTGTTCTACTGAATCTCCAACAGATCGCCTGAAGAATATCAGTAATGCTACGTCTGATCTGCATTCCGTTAGGAGCATTCTTCTTGGATAGAAACTTTTTTTTATGCGGTTTCGTGATGGAGAAATTTTCAGGTGCTGCATCTTAAGTCTAGTTTGTTGCTAGATGTTTTAAATTTGGATAGTAAACAATCGCCAATGAGGTTCATTGTGTGAAAAGTACTATTCCCCTTGTATTTGGTGTGTTTTGGACTTGAGCCTCTCATGTAATTAAATATAAAATAATTATTATAAAAATAAAAAAAATAAAAATAAAAACAGAGTACTACGTACTACTTATTGTAATTTAAAGACTTGTGTAATTAAACAATAGCATTTGTTTTTCTTAATTGTGCCTAAGTTTGAAGTTTCTTTGAAGCCTGTCTGTTTGGGATATGAAATGGACCCCTTACTGAATTTGAAATGGTCTCTGGTTTTCACCTGCATTTCTTCCCAACAAGAACAACACATTGGTGGAAATATATATATATATATATGTTAAAAAGTAATGCACACTTGTACTTGAATAATATAGAAAGGTCTTTAGTGATACAGAAAAGTCTAGATTTTTGAAGAATGTGCAAACCGACTTAACAAAGTTGGTGAATACAAAAAATCTGAGAAATCAAAGTGTGTTATAATCACCGACTAAGCTATTGTCGGTTAGGCCATCTCCAGTCATATGACTAAATGTAGTTCAGAGCTAAAAATTTAGTTATCCAAAATATTAATTTTTTAAAGAATAGTATAGAGTTAAATTTTTCCATCTCCAGCCATGCAGGGTTATATTTTAAGGTCCTTCATATTTTATTATTTTGAGAAAAACTATGGTATAACACATCCATTCCACAACTATGTATTATTTAATTTAATTAAACTACTATTTAGAGACAATATTCTATGACCAAGAATTTTTTATAATATTTTTTAAACAACACTTGAAAACATTTGAAAATGTGACTACATTTTTTTTTAAAGGATGGGTTTCAATGGTTTGACATCCAACGGTCATGACTAATAATTTTTTATAATTTTTTTTACAAATTAAAAACATTTAAAAAGGCTTTTAAATATATATATATATATATATATATATATTCAGCTGACATCATCAATGTAAAGCACATGCATGGAGCCCACAAAAAATTTGGCCGAGAACTAGGCCAAAATTGGGCTAAATGTGGCCCGGTTGGAGGGCTACAAAAATGTAAGCTGAAAAACTACAGCTTGTCTAACCTTCCCATGCGCCAACTCTAAAGCCTTGTATCTTTTTTTTATTTCAATCAATAAAATAAAATTATCTTGTTACTCTTTCAAAAAGTTTTCTATTCCACATCAAGTTATTGTTCTAAATACTAAACCAACTATTTCATAAACCTCTTCTCGCTTAAATCAATAGTGGTATCAGAGCTAGTTTCGATCAACCTTGGACGTTGGTTCACTTTAGTCCTCCATTATGTGTCGTACTTAGAGTTTCTTCAGTTTTCTCTCTGCACAGTTGTGTTATAGTAACACTTTTCTTTTTAACTTTTTCTTCCTCCCAGTTCCGTGACGCGAATTCATCGAATTCAACATCTCGGCTTATCATGAATTTTTTAGTTCTAGGATTGTACACTCAATAGCCTTTAGATTGGGAACTGTATCCCAGGAATATACCGACTTCATATTTTTCTTCTGGCTTGTGTCTTTTCTCCTTAGGAATGTGCGCATAGCAAATGCATCCAACTACCTTGAGATGCTTTGCTAATGGCTTTATATTGCTCCAAGCCTCAATAGGGTCTAAAGAATATCAATGATGCTGCATCTGAACTGCATCCATTAGAGACGTTCTTCTTCAATAGGAACTACGGGTTTGTGTGACGATGGGGATGTTTTTATGTGCTGCCTTAGAAATATTCTTGTTGCTGCTACAGTAAGAGTAGATGAGAGATCTGCTGCTGCTACTACTACTACGTCGTTTTGTTAGTGTGTTTGGGCCCGAAGCCCTAAGAAATGTGATCAAAGCTATCAAACGACTACATCTTGTGTTTGTCTCGTCTTAAATAAATCTGAAAGTACACTTGATGCCATTATGCTGTTGTTTGGTCCAAATATGCTCTCTAAAGACTATAACGGCCATTTCTTAAACCCATGGCCTAGCTGTATTTCAATCAATTTCCTCTCATCTATTTCAATCCAAAGATAATTGCATGCTTGTAAACAGTGCCGGTCTTGAATTTTTCAGGGCCCAGGGCAAAAGTAAAAATTAGGCCTCTACCCTTAGTAGTGAACTCACTCTTATTTTTCAACTAAGATCTAACCTGTTCAAATTAACTAAAAATTTAACATTCAAGGCAAATAAATTGTATCGATTCAAACTTCAATATATAAAAATTTAGAATAAAAGGCTATAATATATAAACAAGATAAATACTTATAACAATACAAAATTAGTGAAATACCCAATTCTAGACATGAAACTATAAATATACCCTACACTATTTAAAACATATAAACACACCCAAAATATACCCAAAACTGACAGCTGTTATATTTTTTAGTTTAATTACTTAAATGAAATACCTTTATTACCCATTTAGTATTAAATTAGTTTTTTTTTGAAAAATTTGGGCCCTCTCTCTCTCTCTCTCTCTCTCTCTCTCTCTCTCTCTCCCTTCGCAGAAACCAAGCCTAGGCCAACGATCTTGGTGCTGCGTCCACGGCCAGCATGACAGCGATCGGAAAAGGATTGGTCAAGGCCGACGATCAAGTATGGGCTAAAGCCCAGCCACATTAGCCATTGACGATGCCGCTGCGAACTCAAAAAGGTTTGTGGATTTCAAGTTTTCCGACGTCGTTTCCGGTGACTCCGACTGTTGTTTCCGTCGATCGAGGTATGAAACTTTATCTAATTTTCGTGCTCAAGCTGTTTATGTATGTGGTTAGGATAGATTTTGGAGTTTTGGAAATTAATCAATACACCCTAGTTTGACCGACGGCTTTGGCAGTGTTCCGGATTACTCCGGCCACTTTTTGGCCGGGGTCCAAGACCAAAAATTTCCCCTTGTTAGTCTGGATATGTTGGTATAGGTATTGTAAGGACTTTTTTGATTTTATTTGGGTGATTTCATGTTCGATTAATTAAGTTGCTGGTTAAGTTTTCATAATTTTTGCAGTTTTGGAGTTTAAATTTGAAATGTAGATCCAATTCTTCTTGATTTTATATGTTTATTTTTGTTATTGTCGATTTGGAGATAAGCTATTGGATTTTCTAATTTCGTTCTAATTTGTATTAGATATTCGTTTGAGTTTTAAATTGTGATTTTAATTTTTTTTGTTTATAATTTGGATTGATTTCAAATTTAGTTTGGTTGTGGATTTGCTTTTTGTGTTTTGGTTTGAGCTGTGTTACAGATTTGTGATATTTGATTCTGTTATCATATTAATTTTGAATTTGAGTATATTCGTGTTTTTTCTGTTTATGCACTATTGGTTTTTGAGTCGACTATAATTTGTTGTTAGGTAGCAGTGTTATTACCTTATATTGGAACTTTACAGACATGCATTAGAAATATGATTTCATAGGAAACAAGCAGTGTTATTATCTTATACTGGAACTTTACAGTGGTAAACATGCATTAGAAATAGGATTTTATATGAAACTAGCAGTGTTATTATCCTATACTGGAACTTTACAAGGGGTAAACATGCATTAGAAATAGGATTTCAGAGGAATCTAGCAGTGTTATTACCCTATATTGAAACTTTACAAAGGGTATACATGCATTAAAAATAGGATTTCAAAGGAATCTAGCAGTGTTATTACCCAATATTGGAACTTTACAAGGGTTAAACATGCATTAGAAATAGGATTTCAGAGAAATCTAGCAGTGTTATTACCCTATAATGGAACTTTACAAGGGGTAGACATGCATTAGAAATAGGATTTTAGAAGAATCTAGTAGTGTTATTACCCTATATTGGAACTTTACAATGGTTAAATGCATTAGAAATAGAATTTCATAGGAAAAAAGAAAGTGTTATTACCCTGTACTGGAACTTTTGCATTCAAAATAGGATTTCATTGGAAACAAGCAGTGTTATTACCCTATACTGGAACTTTACGGTGGTAAACATGCATTCAAAATAGGATTTTAGAGTAAACAATCAGTGTTATTACCCTATACTGGAACTTTACAGCCATTAATCAACATGAAAGTAAACTAGCAGTATTAAGAATGAGTATATGACTAAATATCTCTTTCTTTTTTGAGTTGCTGAAAATTGACTATTTTATAGTCATATGCAGTTAGTCCAATAGTGAAAATCCAATATAATTTCAAAATTTTGTCTTGGATTCGAATATAAAATACTGTTATTACCATAGACTGGAACTTTACAGCAATTAATCAACATTACAATAAAGGTTTGGATTTTAAATGTCTTACCTTTGAAGCCTTTTCTTGTTGAAATTGTTCTCTGAAATTTTATCTTTGTTTTGCAGGTGGAGGTTAGTGTGTGGTGTTGGTTTTTGAAAGTAGATCAAGCTTGGTGGTTGTTATGGAGTTTCAGTTTGCATAAATGATGAAGACGGTGAAATGAAGAGATATTTTGTTGAGTTGGTTTAATGAAGATGCGTGCTTGAAGTTACTATTTTCGAGACAGTTATGTGTTGTAATAAAATGTTTTGGACTTTTTGTAACCAAAAAAAATAAATAAATAAAAATTGGGCTTTTTTATAAAATTGGATTGGGCTTGTTTTGGGTGTTTTTTGAGTTTTTTTTTCAGTGGCAGTCCTGTAATTTATAGGAACTTCAACACCAATTTCTTATATAATAAATGGATTTTGGGTGTATTTCTAAAGTGCATTCCATGTGGGGTTTTTTTATAATTTCAGCTCCTATTTTGGGTGTTTTAGTGAAACTCCCTTATAACAATTCAATAAGTTTTTTTCATCTAGCAACAAGCAACAAGCAACCAGCCAAAAAAAAAATCTCTAAATGCTGAATAGCTGAAGCAAAACAACATCAATATATTTGAAATCCCTTTGCATCCTTAGCAACCAGCAAAACAAAA